GTGTAAACTGTCATTTTCTATAGATGTTCACATATCTGACCTTTGTACTGTAAGTTTGACAAATCCTTCAAATGAAAGTACAACAACAACAACCAACATTCGCCACCGAGTGCCGGTGCTGTCGCCACAGTGCTTGTGCCCGGCCATGTGCACCTTGAGGCCACGTGAAGTGTCGAACACCCGCTGGCAGGATTTCACGGGACAGACCCGGGTGCCATGGGTTGACTTACTGAGATGACTGAGATGACTGGCCGATGCACCACCCCTGCCCCCTACTGTGCCAACTTGCTGTGCTTTAGCCACCCGGCGCTCCGCTCGTTGTTGTGAAGTGTCCCTCCTCTGCGCTCCGTTGTTGCTGGAGGGCGACTGCCTCCAACTGCCCAGATGCTTCCTTCATGAGCTTCCTCCACAGAGGCCGATCTTGACACCGCTGGTATTAATAATATGCCAGTCCACCCCGTTCCACATCCTCTCGTGCCACATCACTCCATCTCTTCTCTCGCCCGTGCCACGCCCGTTTAACTCCCTAAACGGGCGCGACACCTTACCATTAATAATGGTACAGTACCATTATCAAAGACGGAGGAGTCAACCTGTCTTCAGGAAGGAGGAATTTGATTACACGCTTGAAACGTGGTCATAATATGAGGTTACAGGTTCCCTGCGTGTGATGCTCTGAACACAGTAGCTTGTCACTCGTAAAACACTTGACTACAACGCTGAAAGTTTTACATTTGGACCACAAATGTGGGCTGCATAAAAACCAACAAAAAAAACTCATTTGACCCCAATCGAAATTGATTAGGGAAAAAAAAGCAGTCGCAGCTTCATATAGAAGCCTGCGGGAAGTTTGGAAATGAAGAGCACTTGTGACATTGGGAGAGAGAGAGAGAAGAAAATAAATCATAAGGACAAAGGAAGACGTTTCTGTCTGGGTAGTTAATGGGCTGTTTGCGAGGGACGCGAGGGGGGTGTGAAGTAAAAGAATAGGAGGGAAGAAGGGGTGGGCACAGACTGTGCTTTGGCACAAACGTAGTGAGTGTGCAATGGGCAACCCCCTTTGAGGAGGCTTACTTATCACACGTGACCAAAAGCAGGAAACCGCCACGCTAATCCCACCTCAAAACCCGCGGGTTCCTCTTCCAGCACTGGCAGGACGGCGGGTTACATCAAAGTGACCCCGAGGAGCGAGAGGCAGGAAACAGACAACAAAGGGGTGAAGCGCCTGCCCCATGCACCCACCATCCCCAGTCAGTCGTTCTGTTTCCATCTGCGCAGATAGCCGTGCCTGCCGTGTTTCACGATGTGGTGCTGGTTCGAATCTTGAGCTATCAGCTCATGGAAAGGTGCTTTCAGTGTTGTTATTACACGCTTTCATTTCACTCACTCTGTCTGTTGTTGTTGTAGCCTCAAATCTTGTAACTCAATTTTAACCCACTTCCCAATGTGGTATCGACTGTAAACGTGGTATACTTATGTCATGCTGATGACAATACTATATTCTATCATTAAAAATAAGTATTTGTAAACAATCTTTTTTATATGTTATGTTTCGGCTTGGGTCTAATTGTCCACGCTCAACTGACGTTGGCTGTAAATCACCACGGTCCCTTACGTTATGGCAAGCTTCGGGCCCACTTCCTGGAGTCGTGGAGTTCTTCCATTACTAGTACCGAACATTTAATTAAAGCGTGTTTTTTAAAAAGTTTTTTTTTTATATTACTTACTTTTTGTTGTTGTTGCTGTTTTGGAAAGTAATTTTGTTTATTATTGGCAAGTGGGATCTGGACCTGTGCAGGGCCATCCCTTTAACTCGGCCAAATGTACCTGCTGGTGCTGTGTATGCAAACAGAGCACTGGGAAGACACATACAGTGAGGAAAAAAAAGTATTTGATCCCCTGCTGGTTTTGTACGTTTGCCCACTGACAAAGAAATGATCAGTCTACAATTTTAATGGTAGGTTTATTTGAACAGTGAGAGACAGAATAACAAAATCCTGAAAAACGCATGTCAAAATTTTTATAAATTGATTTGCATTTTAATGAGGGAAATAAGTAAAACATGCAAAACATGACTTAGTACTTGGTGGCAAAACCCTTGTTGGCAATCACAGAGGTCAGACGTTTCTTGTAGTTGGCCACCAGGTTGCACACATCTCAGGAGGGATTTTGTCCCACTCCTCTTTGCAGATCTTCTCCAAGTCATTAAGGTTCCGAGGCTGACGTTTGACAACTCGAACCTTCAGCTTCCTCCGCAGATTTTCTATGGGATTAAGGTCTGGAGACTGGCTAGGCCACTCCAGGACCTTAATGTGCTTCTTCTTGAGTCACCCCTTTGTTGCCTTGGCCCTGTGTTTTGGGTCATTGTCATGCTGGCATACCCATCCACGACCCATTTTCAATGCCCTGGCTGAGGGATGGAGGTTCTCACCCAAGATTTGACGGTACATGGCCCCGTCCATCATCCCTTTGATGCGGTGAAGTTGTCCTGTCCCCTTAGCAGAAAAACACCCCCAAAGCATGTTTCCACCTCCATGTTTGACGGTGGGGATGGTGTTCTTTGGGTCATAGGCAGCATTCCTCCTCCAAACACGGCAAGTTGAGTTGATGCCAAATAACTCCATTTTGGCCTCATCTGACCACAACACTTTCACCCAGTTGTCCTCTGAATCATTCAAATGTTCATTGGCAAACTTCAGACGGGCATGTATATATGTGCTTTCTTGAGCAGAGGGACCTTGCGGGCGCTGAAGGATTTCAGTCCTTCACGGCATAGTGTGTTACCAATTGTTTTCTTGGTGACTATGGTCCCAGCTGCCTTGAGATCATTGACAAGATCCTCCCGTGTAGTTCTGGGCGGATTCCTCACCGTTCTCATGATCATTGAAACTCCACGAGGTGAGATCTTGCATGGAGCCCCAGGCCGAGGGAGATTGAGTTATTTTGTGTTTCTTCCATTTGCGAATAATCGCACCAACTGTTGTCACCTTCTCACCAAGCTGCTTGGCAATGGTCTTGTAGCCCATTCCAGCCTTGTGTAGGTCTACAATCTTGTCCCTGACATCCTTGGAGAGCTCTTTGGTCTTGGCCATGGTGGAGAGTTTGGAATCTGATTGATTGCTTCTGTGGACAGGTGTCTTTTATACAGGTAACAAGCTGATATTAGGAGCACTCCCTTTAAGAGTGTGCTCCTAATCTCAGCTCGCTACCTGTATAAAATATACCTGGGAGCCAGAAATCTTTCTGATTGAGAGAGGGTCAAATACTTATTTCCCTCATTAAAATGCAAATCATTTTATAACATTTTTGACATGTGTTTTTCTGGATTTTTTTGTTGTTATTCTGTCTCTCACTGTTCAAATAAACCTACCATTAAAATTATAGACTGATCATTTCTTTGTCAGTGGGCAAACGTACAAAATAAGCAGGGGATCAAATATTTTTTTCCCTCACTGTATGCCTAGGAATTGTACTAGTAAAATAAATCGGTCGCGTATAAGGCATATCTGTTAACCCCTTATCAGTCCCTACCTTATTACATATTACGATGATTACAATTCAGACCTTATTGGTCACCCCGCGCCCTTATAAATCTCAACGTTCAACCTATAAAGTCCCATCACAAGGGAGAAACACCAAAAAAATTAACAAACAAATTGTTGTACTCCATTTTTCTTACAAGATACAAATAAAACGTATGGGTTGACAGGTATGATATGGTGCTCTAACATAACTTTCATATATCGTAATGACAAAGGAGAGGGGTCTTTTGAGTCTAGATGTTCGCACGACTACAATCTCTGTGACACAAAGTTAATCTCCTAACCATTCACATCATAAGAACATGATATTGTGTTCAAACTTTGGCCTGTGCCTCCGTTCGCAAAACACGACGATAATTTAAAAACACAATATGGTGTGACATCATCATTGAGGAGACCAAGGGGGCTATTCGTAATGATGCCCTCCCCTCTCTCAATACCCACTGTGGCCTAGCAACTGACCTTGGCCAGAATGCACCTTTGCAGGGCATACGTCTGGAGGAGGTGCGGCGTGCAGGATGAAATGTTTTGTGTAGGTAAAGATTACACTTTTAAAACTTTACATTACATTTAGTGCGAATGTTGGCTCAATTGCTCTGTTGCAAACTAACATATAAAGTCTCTGCAATTTGTTCCCACGTTCTTCTCAAACATTGCCAAGCCACTTGACGGATGTAATTGGTTGAGATGTTAGCGCTGTCAAGTCCCGTGCATCTCTTGTCTTAGTGATCCAATCAGCCCAGTTGCATGACATCGTTTAAATGGGGGGCATACTCAGGGGTTGTGGGTGCACGACACGATGTCAAACAACCTTGAAACAAATGTTAATCGGTGAACAGAATGATTAATGATGTAATCTGCTTTTGTCTATCATTGTGGCCAAATGGGATTTCATGTAAGAGTTATTGTAAATATGATGTCAATATGAGTGTTTAACGGGGGATTGAGTTCACCAATAAAACACCCCTCACTAAGAGTACGGGAATGGTTCAGCCTATAACACACCCCTCACGAAGAGCACGGAAGTGGTACAGCCGATTTTGCGTGACGAAGCCGTGTGGAGGAGAGACGCTAGGTATTTTCTCAAAGAAGAATCCTTTTGATATTTGGGCCATGAGGACAGGCATGAGTCGTTTAATTTAATACAGTAATTGTAATATGAAAAGTGTTATTGCACAAACAATTAATATAATGGGGGAAACTGTGCCGTATACTTATATAGCAACGAAATGTTGATTATGGTTTAAAATATTACACCAAAAGATGCCTACATTGGGTGAATAATGTTATTCGGGAAAAGTAATATTCATGTGTTAAGATGTTGATTCTATCTGGAAGTGATTCCCAACAGATAGTATGATGTAATTGGAAAAAGTAGTAGGCTTAATAGTATGGGAAGAGGAATGTTAATAGGTGTAATGGAGCTCTGTCCAAGTGTAATGACTCTCGGACAACGCGAACTGTAGAGGGTTGCTTTATTGCGTATTTAGGGCGCTTCGCGCAGATAACTTATCCAGGGATGACACGCAGATAACTTGGGCTAGGGATGGCACGAAATTGATGACGACGCGAAGACAGTCGACCCCGATCCAACGGCAGCCCCGAACCTTTCCTCTTTTATCCCCCGGCGTGGCCCTCACTCCGCCCCCAGCCACGCCCCCATTCTCGAACTCTCTGGCCCGTCCCCGAACTTCCCAGGTGATCACCCCCTTGTCACAACTCGGCCTCTATTAATATCAGCCCCTGTAATTACTACCCGCGACCGCCAGGCCACGCACTGTCCCTGCGCCAGCAGTCTCCACACACGCACTGTCTCTACATGAGGATATTTTATTCCGATCAACTATTTGGGACGTGGTGCGCTTCATCGTCACAGCTGCGCTGTGCGGAGCAGAAGCTAATGAATGAGAGTCTGAAAGGGAGGTGGTGACTGCCGAGAGCGTCATCAGGAGCCGTCAGGCCATGCGAAAGGACTTAAAAGAGGAAGAGGGCCATCGGGTTTCCTGCTCATCTTTAGGATGCCCAAAAATCCATTCCACGACTGCAAATATGGCTGTCGAGATAGAAACTACGTCGTTGTTGCAGATACAATGCTCCAAGTATTGAAGCTCCAAAAAAGTTGCGTCACTGCCCTGTGTGAACTCACAGCAGAGCAGTGAGGTGTGCAAAACTGGAGTGTTCATTTGCCGTCAAGCATATCGAGGTTTCATGTTAAATCGTTGTCCCACGTAGTTCTTGATTCCTTATGTATATACTTGATGTTTCATGAGATAAAAGGCTGTTGGATTACAAGTGCATCGGCGTTGACAATACTGTGTTAGGGGATTGTAAGTCAAGCTACTCTTAACAGAAACATGGAGCCACTGAATTTATGTCTGTTACCTGTCGACCCACGCTTTTGTTATAACCTTGCCACAACTGGCAAAGGGTGTACCCGGGGGCATGGATGGGTCAGGCGCAGAGCCACGGCCCCCACTTTCAAAGTGAAAGCCCATCGTTTATGGCTTCGGCACAGGAAAGATCTGGCGCATTTTAAACTTGTCGTGGAAATGAGGCATGAGGCACTATTGGGGGAAAAAAATTAGGAGGGGAAAGAAAAAATACTTGGTGTTCTGCCTAAAGCATGTTTTGTGACTTGGACCTTATGGGCCAGACCATTGGTCCTGCACACTAAGTCATCCCCTTCTGTTTAGAACGGCATTCTGTTTTGCTCCTCCCTCATGCTTCTTGCCTTGACCCCCAGTGCATTGCCAGGTCTTTTTTTTTCTCTAGAGAAAAACTCGCATCTGTGAGAGCCATTAAGAGAAAACACACATACGTGTATGTGTGGAAGCCATTACTGAAGTTATATCCATGTTTTGAGCTGCTACTTTGTTTTCTTTATCGGCATAATCGTCTCTGCACTTTCATAAATGGGTCTCAGTGAATATAACAAATGTTATGCAAATGTAATACATGACATGGATACATCCAGACACGAGCGACTTATATTTAGCCCTGCTGTTAAGAACTATTGATAAATTACCTTAGTTGACTGTCCTCAAGGTGGTACAATTCTTTTGACCTCGGCGAGATGATGGCCCGAGTTGATCCGCAACAAGAAATTAAAATTGCAACATTCTAATTGCGAGTCAAGCGATCTAACCAAGAATCCCCGGTATCATGAATGTGTCCTCATTCCACTTAGTTTGTAGTGACCCATGGCTCTTTGAAACTCCGAGAGACAGCAGAGAAGCAACAACGGCATGGGAGACCATGACCGTGGGAGGATAATGAGGCTGTTGAAATACTGTCAATCCACTGCTGAATGATGGCTTTCCTGTGTCGCATTGGTCAGATGAATTTGGGCCCAAGTTCACCAATTTGGTCTTTGAGGGTTGGTCTAGGGGGGCCAGGTCAGGTCCAGGTAACACTTACCATGAATGTTGGTCAATCAACTACCAAGAGTGGCACAACACACGAATGATTGGTGGGGCCAAACCATGGGCAAGAGCCTGTCTCTCCAATATTGATGTCTCTATTAAATCGCTGCACCAGGTGTTAATTTAAGGCTTAGCTGACCTAGCAAGAGGCATTGAACAGGTTCTTCACATACCAAGTTCAACTGACGCAGTGCAAAAACCCAGGCCGTCGGGATCGTAGTGCAGTGTGCTAGTTCCTACGCCCCACTCCCAAACTGCATAGACACAGACCCACACACACACACACAGACACGCACACTAAGCTCTCAGGAAGTCACACACTCATGCCAGCACATGGAGCACTGTCCAAAAATTCCTAGAATAACTTGGACAGTTGTGGTCAAGCAAACGTAAGTCAAGTGAGAAAACATAGAGTGCATGCCGATTTAAAATGTTTCTATATGCTTTATCCAGACAAAAACACGCACACACACACACACCAAGATTTCTCAATTTAGCTGCATAGATTGTCGAAGGCAAATTATATTTGTAAACACGTATTAAGACTGGTCGTGTGGGGTGCCGAATTCAGACCCAAGTATGCACATGTTGACAAAACCATGAAGCCAGGCACTACTCTTTTTACATTGAGTCCTCCATAGAGCAAGCCCAACTGATGCTCATATACACCATTTACCACTATTTGAACATGGTTAGGAATTGAACTTTGCTTGCCAGAACTGTAACGCAGCACACGGACCAATACACCACGCACCCTTCTCAGAACACACGCAACTCACCTATATCAATACAAAGACCACCGGTATTGCCTTCATGGACTGTTGGGAGCAAGTAGTCTTGAAGAGCAACTATTAAGACTAACACGGTGTCAGCGGCGGCTCAGAGGTCAGAGCGCTGAGCTGGAACCGTTCAAATCTGGGCAGTCGCTCATATGATCAAACCGAGTTCTTGAAGTCTAGAAAATTTACATCAGCCCAGTTACCAATGACTGCACAAAAGCCGATCAATAGCTTTATTTTGCACTTCAGATTTGACTAAATTCAATCTCTTAGAACTACAATTCTGTTTTACTTTCATGCTACAATCTCATAGCAGAGCTTTGTGGGAAAGTGTGCCCTTTCAGAAGCCCTTTGGAAAATCTCTTCCATGGGCCTTATCTGACACACGCAGTGAGGTTTCTCAAAGGATTCTTTGTTTCATGACGTGATGCCAAAAACACAATGTGGAATACATGTCTATAAAACGTGGGATGGGGGGAGAGACCTACATGGCACAAGAGGGTAAGAGATGTGGCCAACAACACACGACATGTCGCCTTTGTTTCCCCGGTGTCTCATATGTCCACATGAACCAGTTACTCGTTTTAAGTCTTTGAATTTACCTAGGGAGAGACCTATAGTCATTCTAAAGTAATTTATATAGTGCCTTAAGCAAAGAAATTTACAGAGAGTTAAGAATGGTACATATGAATGTAACGGTGGAGATGAGGTGAATGAAATAGATGAGAGGAAGCAATGGGCGAATCTGTGATTCGTGAATTCAGTGGGACCGAAATTGATGACAGTGAATGATGATGGATTGAATGAATGGGGAATGAGTGATAGCCATAGTTAGTTCTGATAACACCACACATGTTTGCTGTGGAATGGAAATTACACTCGGGCCACCGCATTTGTAGCACGAACCACTGCGCCCACGTTCCCCAAACACACGCATGGCCACACACACACACAGAGGCCATCCAGCCCTCCAGGATTGTACGAAAAAAAACCTCCAGCGCACACAGAATGAACGGCTGAAAAGCATTTCGAACACACAGCGGTTACGAATGCAGAGATACATGGCATGCCACCAACAGTAATATAACTGTACAGTTCAGATTGGAATGCCAGCAGAGCGGTGCATGGGAAACCAGGAGCTGAGCGAACGTGTCCCTATGTTTGGAAGACACTCGAAAATAACGCCACTAGGGCGCAGCTGCACAGGCATAGGCCAAAGATAGTTCAATGATTTTGGTGACCCGCAGCAAAGGACGCGTAGGAATGTAGTCTATAAACATTGGGCAGAGAGAGTTAATTTACAGTACTGGGTCTGGTCGTGGGAGGCAGGCAACGGTCCAAGTAGGAGGCTGCTTGTGAGGGGCCCCCCGAATTGCTTACGGAGGTCGTGACCGCCTGTCGCGAACCCTGAAGCCACCAAATAAAGAGACTCAGGCACCCCCAGGCCAGGAGGTGTTCTTGGTGCTGCCAGCGTAAAAGGGGCTGACCTGGGAGAAGACATCCTGGGTGCGATGGACAACTGAATGCAGTAATGGTGTCACCTGAAAAACGCTGGTTGGGGGGAAGGCAATGGGAAATGATTACGATTACGCTTCCTGATGGCTCAGAATATTGGAGAGAGCGCGCACGACGTTCACAGAAACCCTTCAGTGTTTTTGTAGGGAGGGGAGGTTGCCCAGGGAAAGCCTTTCAAGGAGGATTTTGTCGAGATATTCAAATTTGGGATCTCGAATGCAAGAACAATGTTAACACCAGGAAAACCGAAGAACATTAAAGAAAGAAATGTAAAACCCAAGACTGAATATACAGGATTGTGCAAAGTGAGGTGGAACGAATCAGGACAGCTGTTTATGAAATGAGGATAGATGCTTGGAATCTAACCCAGGAACTCTGCAGCGCCAGATTTGTGCTCCAACCATGGAAACCACCCGGCTATCTCCAAACACACACTTTAATTACAGCCTGATTTATCCCAGGTCACCCTTGCGTAAGAGACTAATTATCCCAATAGGCTATTCACCCTGTACGAGTAAAGACCACTGGTTGAAATGCCAATTCTGTATATATTAACCCTGCGAAGACCACACGAACAGCCTTCTATTGCACCAAGGCCTTGAGGTGCCAGCGTCGGAGATGTCCTAGTGAGGCCACTCGCACTTCTGTGGGCTGCTCTGCGGGGCTTTCAGACACTTCTTCAGCAGCTCGCATCCGGGAGGTGCCCAATTCTGTGACACACGTTCGCAACAAAAATACAAAGATCCCCTGTTATAGCCTAAACAGACTGTCGAGGCAAGTGCTGTTAGCGAGTAGCACCTACGAGGTGCTGGCACGGCACACGAGGGGGTGGGTGGGTGGCCAGCATCATGTCCGACTGCCTTTGTCTGCCTGCCTAGTGGCGATGTATACACACTGCACCAGGTAATAATTTGAGGCCGAGTCGGCCTAGGGGAGGCCTAGGACCGGTTCAGATAGATAATCGTCACTGGTGTTGGCCGTGAGTGGGAATCGAACTCGGGTGCACAGATTTGTAGCGCAGAGCGGTAACCGCTACACTACCGCTCCGCACACACACAAGCACACAGACACACAGCAGGTACTTATTTTAGGCTGAGTTAATATGGAGAAATCCCAAAAGCTAAATTCAGAAACCACTGCCCAATGGTGGTGTGGCTACAATTCCAGGGATTGATTGCAGGCTGCTAGGATCGAAACACAAGAGTGTGATGGTTCATGTCAAGAGGTAATGTGCGTCCCTGCAAACGCGTGCTCACACCACTGCTGGCGGAACAAAACTTCCACCACAGGGACCTCCATAGAGTGTTTGGTTTACTCCATGTTGACCAGACACGTTGGAAGAGGTGGACATAGCTCAACAGACGTAACCACATTTTACACGCCACACGTGACACCGCAGTGGATCCATTTCTACTGCTGGAAAGACAGAGGCAATGCACGGAGATGATGAGATTGAGTTGGGCCTCCATCTGGACCGCAAGTCCGGTACGCGAAGCGTTAAAACACGGGCAGCTACGTCTAAAAAAAGGGGCGCCATCGTGTGGCGAAAGTGCTCAAACACAACGACGGGGACGCACTCAGTGGTGGGGAAAGGGGCGCGATTAACTTGCAACTGCGTGGTGAGAGGGCAGCACCCAGTGGCTTTCTTTAGGTATGGCAACGCTTTGTTTTTAAAACTACGGAGCTAACTCAATTATCTGGAGTGATTGGGGTAAGGGGAAAGAATGGCTTGACAAAACAAAAATACAGCTCATCCAAAACACGTGTACATTTAGTTACAAAAATATATTTGTTATTCAGGTATGTAAATTGGGAGCGAATATGTAAATTGGGGTGTACGTTGGGAGTGAATACTCAGAATGTGATGCCGTATTTTTATTGCTTTTAACAATAACCGGTTTACTTGTTGACGTTTGCCATCACGTGACAACCAAGTCACTGACCCGCGACGAGGGGCAGCTCCTGGGAGAATGAGCGCAAGGCATGACAGGCGCACATGAGCACCGTTAAACCAAAACCTGCATAGTCTGTCCTCAGATAATCAAGGGTTAACGGTACAGAATTCTTGAATTTCCCTGAAATGAAACCGTTCGTACATTTGGTATTCATGCCATTCTTATTGCGCAATGCTACCCAGGAAGGTGCTATTGTTTTACGGAAATAGTCTGCAGTAGTTTTACAGTTGGGGCCGATGATTGCTATGTGTTGATTCGTCATAATCATCATAATCCATGGGGTGCAGATCGCCCGTTATGTGTTCACTGCATGTTTCCTCATTTGTTTCCACTTTCCGTGCCAATATGCTCAGGTAGTGCCACATCTTTCCGGCACCAACCTCTTTATGTCATCATCAAGCCATTCTCTGTTAGGTCTTCCTCTCTGTATTCTTTGGGTCTTTCGGTAAAGCCACGTAGATAGAAAAATAAAAAAAATATCACGACGTTTCGATCGCAACACAAGCAATCGTCATCAGGTGAAACAATATTGCGCGAGAGCTGCTGAGGCAGGAAAAAATATATTTCTTCCTCTGTGCTGAGTAATTTGTGGGAGACTTTTCAAATTCGTCAAAAAATTGGACCACGGACGCCGGTTCGCTCGCCCGACACTTTTTTTTGCGAATGTCACGTCTTTCACGCCCACCGCGAAGCAAGCGACGCGCCACTCACGGCCGGGACATCCTCGGCGTTAATCAGGGTGGCCATAAGGTTCCAACCGCGGACCTCTGCAACAAGCGAGCAAGACGGGCGACCGCTTGGGCCGTAATCCCGAAGCTGTCACAACCGCTGCGGACAAAGACGCATCCCACCTAACAAGCAAGCAGCTCTCACCATGACCGCAACGTCACACACGTTCAGCTGGGGCTGCCCGGCTACGAGGTTCGTCCTGTGCTCCTCCACTGCCTCGGAGACGGTGGCGAGCGCCTGCTGATACTCTGCCTCTGTGGGGCTGCGGAGTATAAAAGAGAGGCAGGTTACAGGGCACAGGAGAGAGCAATCCCCCCTCTCTCTTCGCTGCAGAGACTGGTCGGCATGCGTGCTGGTGGCGAGCACCCCGTCAAGGCGGGTCGACGGGGTGGTGTGGCTGTGGCCAGGAATCAAGTGCAGCCAACTCTCAGCTCCCGAGCGCCAACGCTCACCGATTCAAATTGCAGCGGGGCGCCACGGTGGCGAGGTGTTAACTACCTCGCCTGGTATACGGGTGGTCGTGGGTTCGATCCCGACCCTGACACCTGTTGTATATTTGGAGTTTGCGTGTTCTCCCTGTGGTCGCATGGCTTTTTATCTGGCTCCTACAGTTTTTCCCTCCACATTTAGAAACATGCGTTTATTGTGTTTGGCTGCTGTATCATTCCACACGATAAGCCACTTTGTTGGGCTACCATTTGTGGCCAGGTCGCTTCTGAAAAAGAGCTACATAGCTCGGTGGGACTTACCTGCTAAAATTAAAATAGTTTAAGATCAGAAATTCCGCTGCCGAATGATGTAAGTGGGCAGTGGTTATACTAAGCAGTGCATGATTTGAGATTGGTGATCACAGTTTCACTGTGAGCTATTCTTAATCGCCCATCAGTGTAGGACGAGACAGCCGAATCTGCTGCGTGCTGTTCTGATGCGGATTAAATACGGACTATTGTTTACTGGGTAAATTGAAAATGATGATGATGATGATGCTACCTGATTGGATACTTTTCTCCAGGATCACGCCCAAGGTGGAAGATAAGGGGCAGGCTCGTGTGCTCCGTTTGGTTATGCGTCGTCACATCTTCAACATGTTGTCCTGGACAAAAGTTTACTCCCTAGCGAGACAGAGGGAGACAGCCAAGCACACACACACACAGATACACAGAGCGAATTAAGAGGAGATAACCCTCCTACTCCGAATGCATAGCTTATAGACATCCTACTTGCTAGACTGTCTCCTACAGTTAACTCATAGCCCTGTGTGATTCGCCAACCCCGCCGCATCGTGGACATGCGCCTTCACCTCGAGTTGTTCGACGCTCGGGATGGATTCCCGATTTCCGGAATCCGAACAAATACCGAAAACGTGAAATCGCATTAAGTGACGTCACTTTAATGATGTCCCTTCTGAGCTTATGCTGTCCAAAAGCGGGGCGCCGCATGGCACCCAGTGATGTCACCATTCCTTGCATTATCACATTTAATTTGGTACATAATGTAAATAATCCCAAAATCTGAGGAAAAAAATAAAAAATTACTTTTGAAATCTGGAAATCTGACTTTTTTTCATCTGAAACTCATCCCTACTCGATACTCTGTCAGGCATGGAGGCATCTGTGTAGTCAGATGATGCTGTGGTTCAAGCCCGTGGCTCACAATCATAAGATTACCAGTTCAAATCCCATTTCAGGGTCAACTCAGCCCATCATCTCTCCCGGGTTAGTAAACTGAGCACTGCTGTGTGGGAAGTCAACAATACTAGGGAGAGACTAGCTCCTGCCATAGGAATGTAAAATGTTTTCTGTGAGCACAGAGCCGCCAACAGAGATGACTCCTACGCGACTACCCATTAGAGAGGAGAGATAGACGCTTTCACATTCTAACTCGATTACGCGTGTAAGGGAATTAGAGACAATCAGCATATTTATTTATACTGGAATAATCCAACGAGCTACAAAGCTCTTGTTCACAGATGTCCAGTATATTTAGTGAAAGATCCAACGGTGATTGCCCTAGCAAAACGTCCGGGCGTAACTGGAAGGAGGCAGAGCTGATTGTGACTTTTTTGACTTCCTTCCACTGGGGGAGGACACGAGGAGCGAGGTGGAGGGGGGGGGTGGTGACACCTGTTTAAATTCCTCCCAGGAGTTGCTCCACGTCCACAGGTGTGCCTTGTAGGCGCCGCAGCGCACGGCCATCAACTCGTTGCCCCTGTAGTAGAACACGGGTCTGCAACAGTAGAGAGCAGAAACACAGAGAGGCTGCCGTTGCTACAGTGAGGGAAAAAAGTATTTGATCCCCTGCTGATTTTGTACGTTTGCCCACTGACCAAGAAATGATGAGTCTATAATTTTAATGGTAGGTTTATTTGAACAGTGAGAGACAGAATAACAACAACAAAATCCAGAAAAACACATGTCAAAAATGTTATAAATTGATTTGCATTTTAATGAGGGAAATAAGTATTTGACCCCCTCTCAATCAGAAAGATTTCTGGCTTCCAGGTGTCTTATACAGGTAACGAGCTGAGATTAGGAGCACATTATTAAAGGAAGTGCTCCTAATCTCAGCTTGTTACCTGTATAAAAGGCACCTGTCCACAGAAGCAATCAATCAGATTCCAAACTCTCCACCATGGCCAAGACCAAAGAGCTCTCCAAGGATGTCAGGGACAAGATTGTAGACCAAACCAAGGCTGGAATGGGCTACAAGACCATTGCCAAGCAGCTTGGTGAGAAGGTGACAACAGTTGGTGCGATTATTAGCAAATGGAAGAAACACAAAAGAACTGTCAATCTCCCTCGGCCTGGGGCTCCATGCAAGATCTCACCTTGTGGAGTTGCAATGATCATGAGAACGGTGAGGAATCAGCCCAGAACTACACGGGAGGATCTTGTCAATGATCTCAAGGCAGCCGGGACCATAGTCACCAAAAAAATAATTGGTAACACACTACACCGTGAAAGACTGAAATCCTGCAGCGCCCGCAAGGTCCCTCTGCTCAAGAAAGCACGTATATACATGCCCGTCTGAAGTTTGCCAATGAACATCTGAATGATTCAGAGGACAACTGGGTGAAAGTGTTGTGGTCAGATGAGACCAAATGGAGCTCTTTGGCATCAACTCAACTCGCCGTGTTTGGAGGAGGAGGAGGAGGAGGAATGCTGCCTATGACCCCAAGAACACCATCCCCACCGTCAAACATGGAGGTGGAAACATTATGCTTTGGGGGGTGTTTTTCTGCTAAGGGGACAGGACAACTTCACCGCATGAAAGGGACGATGGACGGGGACATGTACCGTCAAATCTTGGGTGAGAACCTCATTCCCTCAGCCAGGGCATTGAAAATGGGTCGTGGATGGGTATTCCAGCATGACAATGCCCCAAAACACACGGCCAAGGCAACAAAGGAGTGGCTCAAGAAGAAGCACATTAAGGTCCTGGAGTGGCCTAGCCAATCTCCAGACCTTAATCCCATAGAACATCTGTGGAGGGAGCTGAAGATTCGAGTTGCCAAACGTCAGCCTCGAAACCTTAATGACTTGGAGAAGATCTGCAAAGAGGAATGGGACAAAATCCCTCCTGAGAAGTGTGCAAACCTGGTGGCCAACTTCAAGAAACGTCTGACCTCTGTGATTGCCAACAAGGGTTTTGCCACCAAGTACTAAGTCATGTTTTGCAGAGGGGTCAAATACTTATTTCCCTCATTAAAATGCAAATCAATTTAGAACATTTTTAACATGCGTTTTTTTGGATTTTTTTGTTATTCTGTCTCTCACTGTTCAAATAAACCGACCATTAAAATTATAGACTGATCATTTCTTAGTCAGTGGGCAAACGTACAAAATCAGCAGGGGATCAAATACTTTTTTCCCTCACTTTATGTGTTTCTGCATTGCAAGGCACGCGGGCCACTGGCTGCCCCCTGGTGACCTTTAGTGCGGCCCCTGACGTGCGCTTTTACCCGTGGCAACACCACAGGAAGGGAAGCACAGTCGAGGTTGTAATGTGTGGATGAATAAAAATCAGGGCAGAACGGTGGAGAAAGGTGGCTTAAAGAAAGGGAGAGAGGCAAACTACGCAAAGTTGCAGGTGGCTTTTTGCGATTGAGCCTGGAAATAAAATTACGCAAAATATTAGAAAGGGCCAGGTAAACGGGAAAAGGTAGAAATGCCGGGACGGAAGTCCCCAAGATGGACAAAGGAGGCACGGCTCAAGATGAGCAGCGGTAAGAAAGAATGGGCGACGAGCAGGATAGGGGAGGAAGGGGAGAGAAGGAATGACTGGGCCAACATGTCGGGAATGAGAAGGTGACTATAAGAGGGGAGGGAAGAGAGGGAGCGGGAAGGAGCAAACAGAAGTGAGCTGCGTGGAGGGGAGCGGCGTCTTGTTTTCATAGAGGGTTGGAGGGGGTGTGAGAGGTTTTTTTTTTTTGCGGGAGGCTTGAGCTGGTTTCGATATAGAGAAGGGGTGGGTGCTTAATTTGAATTGAGGTTTAGTGGAGAAAACAAATCTGAAGACAGAGCAAGCGAGAATACAAGTGAAAGAAAAAAACAAAATTTCAGATATTTAATTGTATAGCCACCCTGGATCGAGACAAATGTATTACATTGCTGGGTTGATGGATTATCACATGCCTAAGTTACAGCCAAAATAATGTTCATGTTTGAAATTTCACAAATAATATTTACCAACATGTAATATCACGAAGCATAATTTCACACCAACAAATACACGCGTGAAAAACACCTGTTGCTTTCCAACGGGACAATCCGAGCAATGCAGCCATGAACACTCTTGACTACGCATGAGTTACTTACACTTGTGTTGTCATCATTTACACTCTGCAGACGACGATGTCGCAACAAACCCTGACCCCTCTGGACTCCTCTGCGACTCGTTGGTGAATGGACCGCGGCCCCCAAGGATGCCCTGTAATGTGGTGGGGTGCTGCCCTGGCTGACCCTGGGGCTCCCCATCGCTGTTGTTTGGTATTTGTTTGTTGTTGGTGGTGGTGGTGGTGCTTGGTCGTGGGTTGTGCCGCTCTCTCCTGCGTTTTCCTGCCTTGACTGCCCCTCGGCCCATCCGCGACCTCCCACGCCCCCTCCTTCTACCCTCAGGAAGCTTACTCTTTCGCTTTGTAAAGACTCTTGCAGATTTCACCCCCTGACAAAATTTGCTCAAAACTGGGTTCACCTGTGTTCACCAATCACCCCGTTCCTACAATTAGCACGGTTGGCTACGTACGGTGCGAAAGAAATTCAACATGCATACACCGCTCCACCAATCAAGATAATTACCATGGGCAGATATCAATTCTCCGCTCCTAGCCGAGATGATCACCTGGGTATGGTCTGGTTGTTGAACAGCGCAGGGCTCAGGTCCAGGCCATCGAACTGCCGGTCAGAGGGTGGCCTCAGCCCAGCGAGCGCCAGCCCGGTCACAAACAGGTCCATCACCGTGCCCAGCTGCCGGCTCACCTGCGGCACAGCAAGCAGCACAACAGCCCGTGATGACGATGATGAGCGGCGGTGGCTCGCGCAAACGTGCGTGCAGTGAGACTGGATGCACACAAGCACGGTCGGCCACATTCGTGTCATTGACCCTTTGCCGTTCCGAGATGTCTGCAAGTTTCTGGGTGGGTGTCCCATTCACCGCTGAATCTCGGAGCGTGCAAGCCGCTCAACGTTCATTTGATTTAGAGAGGCGTAGCGCCGCTGTCTGAAAGACACTGTACACACCGCAGAGAACTGTAGTGACACGACCACACTCTATGATAGCTGGCACCAAACTGTGCCACGTTCCCTCCCGCATGGCCTTTTTCTTCCGATTCTGTTCCAGTGACAAAATAGGAAGCAATTGTATGTCATCAGAAAAACAGAATCGGAAGAAAAACTGATGACGTACACACACGTCATCGGAATTGGAAAGGGTTAACGTGAATGCGTTTAGAGATGGCCGTGTAGCTCAGAGGTCAGAGTGCTAAGATCCTGGGTTCATATCTGTGGTTTAGCCACCTGTGATTAAAATTGAGTTTTCAAGTGTAATGAGTTCATGGTCTTAGACTTGTTCCAATTGACTGCACAGACAAAAAAAACTATAATTAAAATTGGTTTTCCATTTAAATTGGTTCAATTCGACTCTAACAATTAAAAACGTTGGTTTGACTGTCATGTGATGAATATTTATCTCTATAGCAGTGCTGGTGAGTAGGTGGTGCCCTCTTAGTATGGCTATGAGGTCGCATCAAGAGATTTCAGAAGCGGTTATGTGGCATCTCCTTCAGTAGATCAATCTCCGACACAGATGCAATGATCTGCAAAAGTTCCGAACAGATTATCTCATGGCATGATGCTGACAGCACAATGGGGATAAACATTTGGGGTAAAGGGACAATTTCTTTTTAGACTTTGAAAAAATACAAATACATTTCAGTTGGAAGAGTTGGGCAATGCCAAATCTAAAAAGCCAAATCTAGTGAGGTGGGTGGGGCTGCGGTTAGAGCAATGCAAAAAAAACTCTGGAATGTAAGATGAACAATTGTTGCTCGGAATTTTATGTAATAAAATTTGTTTTAAAAAAATGTATCGTAAGTTTTTAATTTTAAAATGTTTTACAATTTTCAATGTGATTGAAAAAATATATCACATTAAAAATGTTGCGAGAATCTCTTACACATGAGTCATGGGGGAAATAAATGTATTTTATAGGATGGTACAGAGGGGAAAAAGAGCCATGAAGTTCGCTATCCAAAGAATTTGCCGGAAACCCACTGACCACTCAAGCAACTGCTACTTCTGCATGGTGGATCCTTCCAAACGTCGGACTGGCAAGAATGCACCTGCTATCACGTATCCGGACCTTCCTTCATCCATCGCCCCGGTGCCACACTGCCATGAGCTCCCCGTACCCACTCCTCCAGAGAGAGAGCAGCCGTCTTTAGAAGAGAGCAGCAAGTCAGAGAGCGAGGAAGACGTTGTAGATCCAGATGGCAATTGCAGAGGTGGAGCTGAGGAGAGAAACCCATACTACCCCAACCAAAAATACTTCAACGACTTGATCAGAGATCTTGGTCTCACCAAATCCGTCCAATGCCGAGCTTTTGACGTCAAGGCTCAAGCAGTGGAACTTGTTGGATGAAAGTGTGCAAGTCGCAGACCAGAGGAAGTGTGACCAACCTTTTTGCAGCTTCTTCACCCGTCAAAATGGGCTCTGCTTCTGCCACAATGTGACCAGTCTGTTCGAGGCAATCGGAATCGCCTGTAACCAGAATGAGTGTCGCCTCTTCATTGACAGCTCATCCAGGAGACTCAAAGCCGTGCTGCTCCATAATGGTAATAAGTACCCGTCTCTTCCCCTGGCTCACTCAGTGCACCTCAAAGAGGATTACAACAGCATCAAGACCTTGCTGGACGCCTTGAAGTATGATAAGTATGGCTGGGAGGTCATTGGAGACTTTAAAATGGTGGCATTCCAGATGGGTCTACAAGGCGGTTTTACCAAGTTTCCCTGCTATCTTTGCCTTTGGGACAGTAGGGAAACCAAGGCGCACTACCACAGACAGGACTGGCCACAATTTGTCAGAGCCGTAGATAAGGAGTCGACAGCCTTCAAGTACATTTAAGACTTCTTCCCTAAGCTGTCTGAGACAAAGGTCAGAGCCGGTGTCTTCGTCGGACCACAGATAAAGAAGATCCTGGAGTGCAATGAATTCCCCAAGAAGCTCACTAGTAAGGAGAAAGCAGCTTGGAACAGCTTTGTCGCAGTGGTTCGTGGCTTCCTGGGCAATCACAAAGTCGAAAACTACAGTGGTACCTCGGTATATGTCGTTAATTCGTTCCAGAAGGTAGGAGGACTTATACCGAAAATGACGTCTACCAAACGAATTTTTCCCATAAGAAATAAGGGAAAGGAAATCATCCATTCCAGAGCATAAGAAATTATATTTTATATGGCATATTAATGTAGACACTACTTATTAATAAAATGCATACATACATTAAAATAAATGCATAAATAAATAAAAATAAATTGAAATAAAATAAATTGAAATAAAAATAAAATTTTACATCACTTTACCTTGCTGAGAGGAGTTAAAATGACAAAAAACGTGAAAATTAACAGAGAGTTATAGCAAGGGGGTTGTGCACTGAACGAGATCTACAGGCAGACTGAGGAGCGGCGCTTTGTCTCAGTCGTGAACGGGGTCTACGCGGGTACTGTACGCGGTGACTCTCCCGACCCAGACAAGTTCTAGCAAGTGCGTCATATCCCAAGCAAGACGTCGTATCCCTAGACATTTTTTTTCACAATCAAAACACGACGTGTACCAAATTCGACGTATTCCAAAGCGGTCGTATACCGAGGTATGACTGTACGTGGAGCTGGTTAAGACTCTGGTGAAGAAATACAGCACAATGGGCTGTAGGATGTCCCTCAAAGTCCATATCCTTGATGCTCATCTTGATAAGTTCAAGGAGAACATGGGAGCGTACTCGGAGGAGCAAGGCGAGCGCTTCCACCAGGATATACTGGACTTTGAACGGTGCTACCAAGGACAGTATAACATGATGGGAGTCTACATTTGGGGGCTGATTCATGAAAGTGATTCACAGTATAATCGTAAATCTCGAAATACTGGCTTCTAAATCTTTTGTCGTCATTTTTGTATTACTTTAGTACAAATGCATGTTACTTTTGATTCATGTTGTCTTTTTCTGACTTTATATGAACGAAAAGACACAAATTCGCCCGTTTTCTCATTGAAAATAGGTAAATTTCAAAATAGCACTGTCCTGGTCACAAAAACAAGTCTGTGGGGAATAATAGCCATTTTCTATACTTTTTAGGCATAAGCAATTACGAAATAACACTTAACTACCCAGGAACAAAAATTGTGTTGCATAGTGTTATAATAAGGCAGCCACACAGGCCGACTGGGATCATTTGCCTTGATATGCTGATAATTTGTGTTATAGGTGAGTAGTGCAACTTTGTAGGACGTCAACAGTTAATGTCTGTATGGATATTCTTGGCCCCACCATGGGAATGTGGAGTTTCTACTCCGGGCTCTGGCACATCAACTCTGTTGGCACATCTGGCACATCAACTCTGTTGATGTCACATCACAACTCTGTTGATGTGCCAGCTCACCATGGCTTGCTAAATTTAGTAAATGCTCAAGGATACAGAGGCTGTGCTAATTAGACATTAAAGTACATCTGGAAGGCAGAGCTGATTAAATACAATTAAATGGCTCATTAATACATGTATTTGTTCCCTCGCCCTTAAGCAGTCAAACCAATCAGAAAATAATTTATTCAGGAAAAACCAAGACCGCTGTCATCAACACTGCCTTCACAAATGCGGTATATTGCGGGATATGTCCTACGCTGAGATTTCTCTTCATCCCTGTCTGATCCGGAAGGCCACTGTAGGAAAAACTCGTCCACTCGAGGTGACATGGGGAGCAGTAATGAGGTGGTTCCTCCACCGTGCTACGAACCCAACGACCTGACTGATTATTTTTGCCATGGCTGACATCAGCGGTGAATGACATCTGGACCAGTCCTAGGGCCCCCTCCTCCTTCACCAACCCACACTGACCAGTGAGTATGGTGAAATATTATTGAATAACCCCTGGGAACCCGCACAGCGTGGGGAGGCCCCTCATCCAGCAGTGGATGACAAAAGTGCCGTACTTGTAAATGAGTACATTCGTTATAAAGTGAATTAATAGTTCAAAGGGTCTCCTTGCTCAGACGAGTGTCGGGCAGTGGCTCACTACCATTGGAAGCGCTAGGCCAACAGCAAAAAAATGCCAAGTTCCTGTTTGTTGATAACCATTGGGGATGATATACAATGTCTGTATGCATTACAAAACACTGGGTTAACATAATGAATTAAATTAAATGACCCTGAATCGCGACACCTTGCCGAAACGCCGAGGGGGTGGCACGTGACAAGTCTAGTCTACAAGGCTCCGTCATCGATTAACTTGAATACTTATTTTCATTCGCACGATAGACACCTTCCAAATGTACACACGTCACTGATAGAGAGCACACCGAGTACACGGCAGTGAAACATGCGAGTAGAGCATTGAGTAACACTGTCATAATGCCTAAGCTTTAAAAATGGGATCTTAAAAAAAGACATCCATTTACCAGACGCATTATATTTTGAGCGCAATCTTTTACTCTCCTTGGGATTTTTTTTCTCTATCTCCCCGAGTTTCACCTGCAGCCCCCCCCCCCCCCCAAAGTGTATAAATTATCTTATCAGGCCCAAGCAGATGGCAAGGAGAGAAGGGTTTCTTTTTTATCAGCGCCACTGCCAAAACGTTGCTGCTGCTGCTGCTGCTACTACTCCTCGATCAAAGGCAAAGCAATCTCCGCGAATCCACTTTGCCAAAGGGACAAGGGAAAACTTGTGAAAAATGGCAAAAATGTGTCCACAGTTGACAATTCATTTTTAACCTCTAGTGAGGTTCTGCCGAAGCCTAAACATAACGCTGGCTTGTTTATCTTTTTTTCCAAGGCCTGTTTGAGACCAATAACATCCTGGATGTTAATTTTAATAAGGTAAGATACACAGACTGGTGAGGAACACATGTGCGTTTGGTCTTAGAATTCAGAATAATTGGGTACTGGCCCTTGTGAAGTCTGCATTGGCTGTTTAATGTTAACAATAAGCACTGCAACCAGAGTCATCTGGCTAATGAGGCACTTTGAAATATGTTTTTATACGCACAGAATATACACACACACCTCTGCCAATTTTGATGATGCAAGTTGCAATAAAATACTTGTAAACCCTTGAAGGTAATACACACTTGTTTAAAAATAATGACAAGCTATTGCTTCACACGATCTGTCCAAATAGCGCCCTTCGAACACGATTTGATCACAATCAGAAGGTTGTGAATTCAAAAACCTGGGGTCAAACTAGATTGTGCATGCACTGATTCCAGTCACAGCGATGTGGGACCTCCACCACGAGCTCAGGACTGCCGATGGAGAAATACTCGCAAAAATGCTCAATTGAACAGGGATGCATGTTGACTCTTAAGTTTCACATTTATTTTACAATTTACGTCAAGAGCACGTCATTTCATGAGATGAAAAGTCCGCTCAGCAGCCTTGCCGGGTGAAGCATCAGGCTGCCCCTGGGGTTTTTCACAGGACCTCTCCTGGAAGTCCTCTTGTTTCTCGTTGAGAAATGCGTCGTTGACATTTTATTGAAAGGTAATCAACTTAAATAAGTTTAAAGTGTTTCGTTTAATCCTTTTTATTTTTTATCCACACGCTGCTATGAGTTTATTTCCCGCATGACAAACCGATTTTTTTATTCTTAAGAGCTGGAACTTAGCCAAATGACAATTTTAATGACCTTTCCGTATGCAGTCATTGGCGACCTCATTACGCCTGTGAACTCGGTTTTTAATCACAGGCAGCTGAAACCGGGACTCGAACCCAGGACCCCGGCAATGCCGATTCGGCACTCCAACCTCTGCGCCACCCCGCCACCTCAACAGATCACGTACAGACAAATTGACACTGGCAAATTAAGCATCGGGCGCAAGTCCCGTGTTCCCCTTTCGTCATCCAATCCGCGAGCCTCTTCGTCCGGCCCACGCGTTGACTCACCGTAGCTGGGTGGATGCGCCCAGGCCACCAGGCTATGGCTGGCTCCCTCATGCCGCCTTCGAACGTGGTCTCCTTGCCACACAAGAAGGGCCCATTGCTTCCAGCTGGGAGATGCACGAAAAACACACGACAAATAAAGACGCTATGCTGAGCCTTTAGAAACGGTAGAAGCCAGTGCAATTAGTGAACGCCTTACCAAGACCGAGAAGGCACGCGAGAGGTGGTCAACGCCACGCCAGGCAACCTTTGTCTCTCCTTTGACGATGTTCACGTACGCCAATGGGTGACCGTACAGTAAAAGCCCGATATATCCGGTGCGGTGTGTAAAAACATCGCCGTTGGGGAGGCAAAGGCGGTCGGGCGTGGTGCTGGCCACCCACTCAACCGTGTACCGTGCCAGCCTTCATAGGCGCTCACTAACAGCACTTGCCCCTAACAGCCTGGTAATGCTACACGGGAGATCTTTGTCTCAGCACGTGTGACTGTGCCTGTGGCTCCGTGTCCGTTCGCCCGACTGCGGATGCGAGACCGAGGGAGCTGAGAGGGTCAGGGGTCGGCGCTGACGTGACGGCTGCCTGCCGTATCACGCCGCCACCAACGGAGAGGGAGGGAGGGAGTTGGGGGGTGGCGGCCGGATAGGCCACTGGGACGTTTCCACGGCACACCACCGGTTATTTTTTCTGTTTTCCTGGGACATGACCTGACCGGCGATGTATATCCGAATCTGATGAGCCGCATTATATCAGGCTTTTACTGTATTCTATTATCATAATTGTTGATATATATGTTACAAGGGTAAATTCCCGAGATGCAACATGTCGTTTGCAAGGGTGTCCAGGGTGCTGTCAAGTGACACACACGCGAAGCAAACACGTAATTACACGTCTACACACATTTTCAAGTCTACAACTCACGCGGTATTACGTTGATGCAATGTCACGCGCACGTATAAGAAGACGGCCAGGACAGCGCGCATGAAGGTCACACTGCAGGCATACGCATGAATAAGTGGTGCACACTGCTGATTCTTCGAGCACATTCTCTAGCTGTGTGCACGTTGAACTTCTTTCGCGCCGTACGTGGCCAACTGTGCTAATCGGAGGTGGGAGGAAGAACATGTCAAGGAATTAGTTTTCAATCTAGATTTAAAAGTGCATAGCTACAGCGGAAGAGCGTTCCCAACGGCCGCAGAAATGCATCTGAAAGCGCGCGACACGGCGACCGTCTTTGTTCGATGGCTATCCAAAATTTGTGAGAATCAGTTGGCCCCAGTGGAAGCCCAATGTATATTTAGATCCTACGTGCCACTGGTGTCAGCCTTGGCGGGAATCAAACCTAGGTTTCCGGCAATGTACTCGCTTCACCACTATTGTTCACCACAGAAACACATGCATACACATGCATGTAGCAGATTACATATTTAAATTTTAAAAATCCACAAGTGATCGGTTAGCTTATGGGGCTGAAGGCCATGTCAGAACACTAAGCCAATCAGCCATTGAGACAACGTTGGTGGGGTGTGGCTGTGTGGGTTTTGGGGCTCAATGGCGATGTCAGAGCACTTGGGCAGTATCGTTAAGATGCCACAATCATTTTTTGCTGCCTCGTGTAACTAAACTGGTCTCAACCTGACCATCAAAGGCCGTACAAATAAACCCACCATGCCCTTTGGATTGCACCCGTTGGGTTGCACTCATGCCTTTGGATTCCACCACTCTTCGATTTTACATTAACATCACGCTAATCCCTCACATTAACATAGCCACTTCTGTGCCCTCATCGAGGAGACCGCTCTCCTACCTTACAGTCACACGCTAATTCATCACATTAACATCACTAGCCCCGGCCACTTCTTTATGGCCCTTGAGCTACACCCATTTCAAATCTTTTAACAAAACAGTCTGCCTCAGCAGCAGACCACGCTTTCCCACCTGATGACGGACGCTTGTGTGGCGCCCGAAACGTCGTGATTTATTTTATTATATACCTACGTAACTTTAGCGAAAGAACCAAAGAGTATGTTAAGTGTAGCCACGTCATTAATTGTTTACCGAAATGCTGCCCACGAGCATCGCCTATAACGTCCACCCCCAATGCAGAACCCTGCTGGGGTGGTGAACTGCATACGGGATAGGTCTAAAGCGAGCGGAGCCCACGCACTCTCTCCTGCGAGTCTTTCTAACTGCGCTCCGCCGCGGGGCTTGACGAGCGGTCCCAGCTGACGGAGGCGGAGCATCCAGGACAGGCGAGGGCTTTGAGAAACGAAAAAAAACCTCCACTGGGGGTTAGCTTCTAGGGACCCTCGTTCGTATCAAGCCCGCCCGTCAGCCGAGGCTCGAGAGCTCACCAGAATGAGCGGGTGGTGCTCCGCCGCTGCGTTTACGCCTACGCATGATGACCACGTGATCCCCCAACCGCCAAAACCATACTCATTACGGCCTAAAGTTGTATGGTAATGATAAAGAGACATTTTGGCTCGGGCAGTGGTTCTCAACCTCTTTTGGCTACTATACTGTTACCCCCATTGTTGAATTTTGTTTCAACCGAGTACAGCCCCCTTGCCTGACCCAACATGGTTCTGAAAAAATAAATGTATGAATGGACATCAATATTTTATCATCATTAGACCTCCATTGCCAGTACTAAAATATAATGATAGGGTTTTTCCCCTTTCTTTCTGGCAACAAAAATGAAACCTTTTTACAAGAAATCATGTGTGCATTAACCACAATACTTGTGGTCAAAATGCAAACAAAAAACACACTATGATAATATATGATGCATTGTCCTTGAAACTGATTGGTCCACACCAGAGATGGCTTTCTTTTGAGCCTCGTCTCAATTGGTGCTAGACCAGAGGACGCCAAAAGGTTTCAGTTTTGTTGCCAGAAAAAAAGAGGAAAAACCCTATCATCAATATTTTACCCAATTGTCCATTCAGTGAGGTATCCTAACTGGCTGCTAGTTGCAAGCGGATACAAAAAAAATGTCAACGGACGCTCCGCACGCGTGACGTAATGTGTTCGCACTTGCTGGCTACTCTTATATCGTTCTAGTTTACCATTTGCATTTCAATGTTATCGTAGTTATTTTATATTGGCAGAGTCATACATAATCATTCACCAATGACTCTCAAGTCCGATATCACTTCACACGCCTATAAATCACCTCTCGTACCCCCTGGGTTATTTGCACGTACCCCCAAGGGGTCCGCGTACCTCCCCCCCCCCCCCCCCCCCGATTGAGAACCACCGGGCGAGGGTATGGGCTGTCCAATCTAATCGATCAACAACAACAGCAACAACAACAACGGTGGCCAGACCTTCCTTGGGTCCTGACATGAGCGCCGCTCCATTGTCCGAGGTGAAAAACACGAACGTGTTGGTGTCGAGGCGACGCAAGCGCAGCTCGGACAGGATCCGCCCCACGGCCGCGTCGATCTCGCGCACCGCGTCCCCGTACCTCCGGAGGCGAAAAATTCGAGAGGAGGAACGGGCGTTCGACGGAAATTAGGCCAGGTGGGTCAGGGGGGGGGGGGGGGGGGGGGCTCACTCGCGCCTTGCCAGAGCACCGATGTTCCACATCTGGGCAGCGCTGTGACAACCGAACGATAATAAAAAAAAAAGCACCCAACCGTTTTGTGTTCGTGTTGCGTCTTCGCGCAAGCGAGAAATTTCGCCATGGCCAATGCTCATTTCCATCGCCGGGCGTGAGTCGTCGGTGTGGAAGATGGCGGTAGCCACCCTCGAGTAACCATAAGATGCGGGAGAGTTTAATGTCAGCATCAATCATAATTGCGCTGCCCTGAAAGAGAAAAATAATAGTGGGCAAAGTTTCGTGCAATGGTCCTTTACATGGCAAAAGAGAAAATCTCTCTCGAGCAGTGTTATAAAACAACGTATTGAGTGCACCACTGCACTCTGCCAAAGCAGTATCGCACATCGGCAGTGCTTCAGGCAGCTAAAACACAGCGAGTTTACAGTGGGGAGAGCAAGTGGTCTGCTGACCCGTGTCACCCGAGTCTCGTCCCGTGACCTCATGCTCGCGAGCATTCGCCATTGCCAAAGTCAACGGTTAAGATCTACCCATTCTCAAATTGCCATTTGTCGGCCCTCATCTCCACTGGCGACTCTTGGTGATGTAAATTACACATTCCTATGGCAGCGGAGCAGTCGTTGTTTTGGATGAACACTATTGCCCGAAGTGATTAGAGGGCTCTACAGTGGGTCAAGCAGTTGGCCTTCCAGTACAGCCAGCTTGGTAGTGGATGTTGGGGGCATCGCGGTGGCGAGATGTTATCTCTCTCGCCTGGTATGCAGGAGGTCGTGAGTTCGATCCCGACCGAGACGTCTGTATGTATGGAGACTGCATGTTCTCCCTGTCGTCACGTGGATTTTATAAGGGTCCTCTCGTTTATTCCCTCCACATTTAGAATCAACGTGTGTTTAGAGTTATTTGACTGCTATACATTGCCATATGATAAGCCACTTCGTTGAGCTATCATTTGTGATAGCCAGGTCACTCCTCAAAAAAGAGCTATATAGCTCAGTGGGCCTTACCTGATAAAATAAGCAAAAATATTTTTTACAGTTTTTCGTGGAGCGTCGTTAACATTACTCCATGGTAACTGGGGACTGCTATTGGCTTTTGAAACAACCGCACAATGTGTGGGGGCACTCTCGGCTGTCACGGCATTGGCAGCGTACAAGCCTCGGCGACTCGTTCCCAGAAAGGGCCGAGAGGCGTAGACGGGAGCGTGGGTGGCGTCCACCGCCCAGTAGAGGAAAAACGGGCGGCCGGCGTCGCTTTGGCGTCCGATGAAATCCAGGGCCTCCTGCCGACACAAGACACGGCAGGCAGACATGGCTGAAGTTCCGTTACGGCTTTCTGCTGTAACGAGGCAAAGAAATTACGTCCGTCTGGAACACTGAGTCGGCAGAATGGCACGGAGTTGTCAACGAATGACAGTGGAGGACCACAGCACCCACCGGTGATGCACGGAGAACGAATACCCAACAGAGTGCGCTGCAGCAGCAGATAAATGCCACTCACGTCAGTACCGTGCAGATGTATTCTGCCGAGGAAAGATGCCGATGCTTGTGCGGCGTACGTGCACTCGCGTTGCATGATAAGACTGGATCCACATACAGGAGTAAACTTCCAGTCGAGCCAGACGGCTTGGCAGTAGAGCTCACATTTAAAAGGTTGTGAGTTCAAATCTCGGTTGGGGGTTGACTCAGCCCATCATTCCTCTGGGATCAATGAAATGAGTACCTATGGATAGACTTCATCCTGCCATAAGAATGTGGACTTTCCACCACGGGCTCAAGGCTGCAAACACATGAGCACCACCTTAAATGCTCATTTGAAAAGGAAACTACTTAAAAAGTTCCGTGGCGTCAAAGTAAATAAATGTCGTTGCCATGAATACACTGCCGTTACACATTTAACAGGAAACCTAGTCGGGTACTCTTACTCAAGGACAGTGTTGGCTTTCCCATGGTGCCACTCCTCAGTCACGTTTATACATGTTACTTTTCACAAAAAATGGTCTAACACTATGTTTTTGTCCGTTTAAAGGGATTGTTTACAACTGCACATTTTACTCATGTAAAACTGTAAATATGCAAACTCAAAACTGCTAATTTGCCAAATCTATCGAAATGTCTACTTTTCTCAAAGCCCCAAGTCAGTCAATATCCTTGCGTTCTCCGTCTGCTCAAATGAAGGGCCATTGTGATTTTGGTGACCCAGGTCACTCTATCCTGGTCTCTTGCGTTCTCACCTGGGGAGCTACGGTGGAGAGATGTTAGCTACCTCGCCTGGTGTAAAGGAGGCCATGGGTTCGATCCTGACGCCTGTATATTTGGAGTTTGCATGTGTCTCTCCTCGTGGTGGGGAGAGGTGGTGTGGCGGTTAGCGCGCCGCACTACGAACCCCATGGCCAGAGTTCGATTCCCGCTCACGGCCAATACAAGTGACGAATATCTCAGCTGGTCCTGGACCTCCGCTGGGTCGACTCAGTACTTGCCCCAAAAGTTTGTCACAGGCTATATGGGGGAACTTTGTCTTTGGTTCAGTGGATGTTTCTCCAGGTCCTCCACATTTAGAAATGGGCGTTTCGAGTATTTGGCTGCTATAAATGTCCACATAAGCCACTTTGTTGAGCTATTGTTTGTGGCCAGGTGGCTTTTGAGAAAAAAAAAAACGATTTAGCTCAGTGGGCCTTACCTGGTGAAATAAAAAAAAATGTTGAAATAGTTTAAGTTTAAACAGGTTCAATTGTATAAACAAAATCAATTTTGGACTAAAACTTATGAAATAATTACATTGGTTTTTTTACTCCTTTCTTTGGTAATCTCTTGGTCAACTGGATATATGGAATATTAATCGATAACACCCAGGTTCATAAACTCCCTGTCAGTAAGTCTTCACCATTCCACTTAACCTCAAGATGCATCTAGTCTGGCACAGGGGCTGTGATGATGTCACCGCCACCATTGGAGGTGCTTCCACCAGCATTCACGTAAGCAAGCAGTTGCACGCTCCACGTTTTACAATGTAGTTATTAACTCACTATTTGTGAGGGATATACGTTTCGGAGATGCTCGTAAATAGCAGATTTTTTAATAAATCACCTACAATAAATACATAAGTTATTAACTACATGAAAATGATCATAACACAAACAAATTGTGAAAATAAACAAAGGATAGTCATTGGTTCTTTCGGTAAAGTCGCGTATGTAGAAATAAAATTAAATTTAAATAAATCACAAATAAAATGTTAAGTTCCAGCGTTATTGATGAACGTGTCGAGTCCTGTTAATTGTGCTTTGTGTGCTCTTGGAGTGGTTGTGTGGCGGTTACTTTACCGCGCTGCATTTCCATTAACCGTGGTTCAATTGCTGCTCGCGATGCTCAGCGACAATGACAACTGGTATCTGAGCATGGCGTGGAGTTTCCCCTCGGTTGACGCGACCTTAATTGCGTATTGGGTGCGACGTGTGAAGAGACAAAGGTGGCCGTGCGTGTATGCCGCACAATTGCCGTGCAGGCCACATTTGGTGCTTGCTATCGGCACTTGCATCTTGTGTCGGTGCTTTTCAGCCGAGGAACCCCTTAGTTTCCCCAATACAGAATCAGAATATTTACACTCGAGTAATCTGATGAGCTGTAAAGCTCTTTTTTCACAGATGTCCAGCAGGGGCGGGTAAGAACATTCCAACAATAAACATTACAAAAACACGATATTAGTGCAAAGTCCAAGAAAGGTAAACAATGCACCCAAACGCATATAGATTAAACTAAACCATCTCCATCCTGCCAGGAAAAGCCCACTGAGGTATTAACTTACTTTCCAAAAGCGACCTGGGCACAAATGATAGCTCAACAAAGTGGCTTCATCACTTAGATATTTACATCAGAAAAATTATCTAAAATAACCAATGAGTATAGTAATTCCTGCAGTCATGAAAGCTTCAATTCTAAACAAAGTATTTCTTTTTTATATTAACGTATTAATTCATGACGATGCTGTGCGTCATTTTCTCGCATCACTTTCTCGCATCACATTCTCTCCCATAACTCTCTCGCTCGATAGCCACGTAGAGTTCCATATGCAATTCGCGGGTGGTCAAAATCGCGGATAGCGAGTGAGCGAACAATGAGGGAATAATGTACATGACAAACATGCTAATGGAGCCATGTCCTGAGGTGAAGAAATGTGCTGCTGAAACTCCATCTGTCAGCTCAGCATCACATCATGGCAAGGAATGGCCCCAAAACAATCCCACCACAGAGTGGATTTTAAGACGCTTCAATTAACCGGCTTTATTTGAGCAACTACTTTAACAAAAGGTGGCTGCCCAGATTCAAGCACCTCAAGCACCAAACCTTCTGCAACCGGCATGTTGTCTCAACGGATTTGGATTAATTAAAAAAAAACAGTCACGGCCATCGGGAAAGAGAACAGGATTTTCAAATACTCGAGCACATTTGCCGCTTTATCAACGGAAGCAATTCTCACCTGCAGATACTGGCGCGTGAGGTTGGACTCTCCCGTCTTGCGATTGATTTCGAATTCTTCGTAATATCTACGTTAAAAGAAAAAATTGCAACTTTAACGAATCAACAACTGGAGGCAAGGGGTCATATTTGGAAAACGTATTTCTTTTTATCAAACTCATACAGGATTAGCTCACTTCGAAGGGAAAGAGAAATGCTTAAAATGCAGCGAATATATTTCAAATCTTACTCTGCTGCATTTATCTCAATCCCTTTTTTAACCCATTCAGACCAAAGTTGAAAGCGTTCATTGCATAAGCTCTTACACACAAAGCGCTTGCCACAAATGAACTACAGTACCTTGCTGATCTTGTCAACAAGCATATACCATCACGTCAATTCAGGTCATCCTCGCAGAGGCTTTTGGTTGGCCATCGAACAGACGGTAACCGCGTCGCGCGCTTTCATTTGCGCTTCCGCGGTCATCTGAAATGCTCTTTTTTTTCTTCTTCCAAAATTAGGATGCCGCCGGAGTTATGCACTTTCAAATCTAGATTGAAAACCCATTTCGTATAGCTTATCATGTGAAAATGTATAGCAGCCAAATGCTCAAGACGGACGATTCTAAAACGTGGAAGGAAAACCGGAGGACCCAGAGAAAAATCCACACGACCAGGGGAAGAACAAGCAAACTCCAAATATACAGGGGTCAGGGTTGGGATCAAACCCACGGCCTCCTGTATACCAGGCAAGCTAGTTAACATCTCACCACTGTGGCACCCCAGGTGAGAAGTCACGAGCCCAGGATAGTTAAATTTGCCAGAGTGATGACCAAAAAAGGCCCTTCATTTGAACAGAGAGGGAAGGCAGGAATATATATATATATCTCAGTGTAATCCCAAGCATGCATCTCTCCATGCTTGTGTGCGCACTTTTTTTTAATTTAGTTCCACTGTATTTGACAATGTCCATCAAACGTTTATGAAAAGATTTCCGAGGGCAAATGCACAAGATCGACTCGCGCGCCTTGTTTCGCTCTTGTTTATCTCGTGTCATATTTACCCTCACTCCCTCTGGCTGGAGTGGGAGGGGGGGGGGGTTGACAGAAATAAAAACCACTTGCAGGAAGTCAATGATGATCAACTAGCTCTAGGCCACCTCCATATATGAGTACCACCCCAAGCGTTGAGCAGAGTCTCTCTGCTCGAGCAGCAGCAAGCAGCAGTATGCAGGAAGAGCTCCGTTATCTGGCATCCATGGGGGATGGAGTGGTGCCAGTTAATAAAATATGCCAGATATCTGAGAGTCATTCTCACGGTTCAGCAAATTTCCCAAGAACATAACACTTTTCAAGAAAGAAACTAAGCCTACATTTTTAACTATGAGATGAGATATAAATACAGTACAACCTTGGATTGCGAGTAACTTGGTCTGCGAGTGTTTTGCAAGACGAGCAAATTTTTTAAAATAAATATTAATTTGCTAAACGAGCGAGGTGTTGCAATACGAGTAGCACGTATATATGCTTTGTCTGCCGAGCGTCACGTGATCACAACTGATATACGAGTGCTTTGATATACGACTGCTTTGGATTACAAACACGTTTCCGGAACGAATTTTGCTCGCAATCCAAGGTTTTACTGTTTACTATTTTACAGAGGTTCACACCAATAAGTTGTAGAGAAGCAGTGGGGCAGTTTAGAGTACAGTAGTACAGTCCTGTATGTACGGTGCAGTAAAACAAAATTAGGTTAGGCGGAGCAAGGCGTACACCCACATCACTTAAGTGTCACATCTATAACACTACACTTATAACATAACTTAAGAGTACACTATAAATAGTATACTATCACGATAGAGCACAATCACAACGCGGTCACAACGGCGGCAACGTCCTGAAGCTTCCATGAACAACGGATCTGTGAGAAGTGCAATGGCAAGATGCCGGATGGCCTTCTAATTTTTTGCGGATACGCGAAGGAAGATTTGTATTGCCGTCTATGACAGATGCCGGTTAATGGAGCATTCTGGATGGTAAAGTGCCGGATAACGGAGCTTTCCCCTGTATTTTACAAAATAACAACGGGGAATGCTTCATTTATTGTAAACAGGGGTAATGTTAAACTTCCAGCAAACAAACGTCTGCTCTTGTCCATGATGTTCCTGGGTCACATAAAGCCTTCGTATAACAGCCAATCCCTTGTTTCGACAACTATTTTCATCATGCGTGCTCAACCACCCACGTGCAGGGCTATGACTTGACCAGTGCAAGGTGGTACAGCAAGTAGGTTTATGAACTGCTTGTGTGGATTTTATGGGTAATAACCTCGCATGCGCATTGGGATGGGTGGCTTGCAGCCTTGCGAATCTGGGCCCAAAGGCTCTAGCGGCTGTGACGTCACCCCCTGGCGTTAAGAATACGGTGCGCCTGAAAGTCGCAGAGTTGTGAGTCTCCTTTAAAGAAAAAAATAACAATAAAGCTTCAAACTTGCATCCGAAAGCCCGTGATTCACAGCTCAGATGTCCATCTGCTATTGTAGGATGCACCTTCCCGTAGCTGCTCGGCACACACCTGCCCAGCATGGCGCTGTTGTTGTACACGGGGATGTTGGGAGTGTCCACGTTGTCGTAGGGCCCAAAGTGGCAGTTGGGAGAGCCAAACCACTCGTGGAAGCCATGCCGGAGGGGCAGGAACTGCGGCTGGTGTCCCAGGTGCCTGTCAATTATTTTTTCACAATTGTCTTAGTAAACATTTTTCGGCAGTGTCCTTCACACATTTTCAGAGGGGGGGGGGGGGGGGCCCTTTCGTCGATAAAACATCATCAATGTGAGGGCTGCCACACCGTCTGCAAGGAGTGTATTAAACTAATTTTCAATGGTACAGTATATTTTTTCAAGCAGTGGTATCCCAAACTTTCGCAGCTGCTTAAATTCCCTTTTCACACCATCAATATGTAAACTCCCCCCCCCTCCCCACCTCGCCGGTCTGCACATGCTCACCTCCTCTACACCGTTCACCATGCTAAGTCCGCCAATTGAATGCAAATTTTTATGCGAATTCTTTTGTCAAGGCACCTTAATTCCTCTCACGCAAGCTTAAAGGTCGCGGTCTGAGCTTGGCTGTGTTCACTCCAGCGCTGTCCTCGAGACAGTCTGGTCCCTTCACCTGATGAAGGCCGCTTGTGTTGTGGCCGAAACGTCGTGATTTTTGTTGTTTTATTTTTTTACCTACGTGACTTTACCGAATAGAACCAAAGAGTATGGATCCTTGCAGTCACGAAAGCTTCCAATCTAGAAAGGAGTTTATTGTCAGGTGCCGCACGTCAATAGCCGCACTAAAGGCCACCAGGGGCAGCCAGTGGCCCGCGGGCCTTGAAATAAAGAACACTGCTCTAAACAAAATAAAATCATTGTGTGCTCATCACGTACCATTTCCCCACAATCTTGTTGATGTAGCCAGCACTCTGTAGCAGCTCTGGCAACAGCAGCTCAGAGTCAGGGATACCACCAACAATCTGCTGGGGAGTGTACGCTGCACGCATTCGCACACACAGAGTCAAGTCAAATCAAAGAATCTCCACGATGTGCGTGCAACAGAACAGGGCTCATATTTCTATTGGTGGCCCTGGCTGGGACAGTCGTGGCAATTGCGCATTCTGGTCGCAGGCAACAGGATCTCCACAGGACAACCAATGTCGAGTTCCCACAAAGTGGTACTCATTTAACCAACCCTTGAGAAAAATCCCAATGCACGAGTTGAACCCAAATTGTAAAATTGCACGTGCTAACCACAGCATCATCTGGCCCGATACAAAAACACAAATACATAATGCCACATACAGTCCACAAACTGAGTATTCATAAAAAAAGGTTTTTGGGTTAGATCGCTTTATTTATAAATGTGTCGCAACCCTCCATCACCCGACATGGCCAATCAGTAAAAAATGTGTCAAGTTAACAAAAGACGAAATAGTTCACTACTTAAGCCCAACATCATCGAGCAATTTGCCAGAATAGTGAAGCCCTCCACCTGCTCCCGGTCTTAAATAGAAAACATTCAAGAGAGCCTCTAGACTATGATACAGGAGGAACCTGTTTAAGATGCAAGGGTACATATATAATGCACGTGTATATTCTGCATGTACTTATATTTGATATTTTCATTCTTTTGTAATTACTGTATATGTGATTTTGTCTGCAGGCAGAGCCATGGTTTAAAGAGGGATATGAATCTGGTGCCTTCAGTTTGATTCCTGGTCATGGCTAAAACCAGTGGCAAGTGATATCTCTCCCTTTCAACAACCCTCACACTGACCAACATGGTGCAGTCTGGGTAGACAGCCCCCATGACTGATAATACAATGTGGAGGGGGCCAGTATCCATCAGTGTACTGACCAACAGCTCTAAATTATCATAAAATTAGTGTAATTGCCCATCATATGACAGGTTTCATAACATTTTTAATTAATGAAATCGACTAAAACGTACAGATTGTATTTAATATTATTAAATAAAAAATGTCTCTATATATCACGTGTCCTGTAAATTGACGATAATCCCCCAAATTTTTTTCCTTGAGGTGACTTTTGTTAAATCAGCACTTTGATGTTGGTTGGATTTGTGCATCTTGACAAAGCAACATAAACTAATAATTAGTGACATATTTTAATAAGCCTTTCATGAAAAACAAAATATATATTTAAAACTGCATGAAAATCCACTTAGCCTACCCAGCGTTACACACAGTATAGTGTCAGGCATTAGGCACAGATCACCAAAACTACATGTATAATGATGTACCAATTATCATACATTATTCAGTAAGCCGTAAATTATTTAGATAATTTTTCTGATGTAAATATCCAAGTGATGAAGCCACTTTGTTGAGCTATCATTCGTGCCCAGGTCGCTTCTGGAAAATAAGTTAATACCTCAGTGGGCTTTTCCTGGTAGGATGGAGATGGTTTAGTTTAATCTGTATGCGTTTGGGTGCATTGTTTACCTTTCTTGTACTTTGCAGTAATATCGTGTTTTTGTAATGTTTATTGTTGGAATGTTCTTACCCGCCCCTGCTGGACATCTGTGAAAAAAGAGCTTTACAGCTCATCAGATTCCTCGAGTGTAAATATTCTGATTCTGTATTGGGGAAACTAGAGGTTCCTCGGCTGAAAAGCTCCGACACAAGATGCAAGTGTCGATAGCAAGCACCAAATGTGGCCTGCACGGCAATTGTGCGGCATACACGCACGGCCACCTTTGTCTCTTCACACGTCGCACCCAATACGCAATTAAGGTCGCGTCAACCGAGGGGAAACTCCACGCCATGCTCAGATACCAGTTGTCATTGTCGCTGAGCATCGCGAGCAATTGAACCACGGTTAATGGAAGTGCAGCGCGGTAAAGTAACCGCCACACAACCACTCCAAGAGCACACAAAGCACAATTAACAACAGGACTCGACACGTTCATCGATAACGCTGGAACTTAAAAGAAAAACATCATGTAGAACCGTTGACGTTTCAGGCAATGGTCTTTCTCCATGCGAAGGGGCCATCGTATAGTCTGCTCGTGCACCGCTGCCAATGCAGCATCACCAAAGTGATCAGTTTAATTTGACACAAGACAGAGTCAATTTGATGTTTGTATTCAACTCTCTGGCCAGGTGGTGCTGTGGTAAAGCACTTGGCTCGCAATGGGGAGTGTTTGAGTTCAAATCCTAAATAAAGATTTGAATTATGATCACAATTGTGGGTAAGTGAAGCCCGTCATCGCTCCGTGATCGAACAATGAGTACGACTTTGCAGAGCATGAACAGGCGGTGTCCTTGGGAAGAGCTGGCTCTGTCTAGAGAAACGCAGGATTTCCACCACGGCCTCAGTGCCACCTGCAGAGGTCAGCACCTACCTCTGCTCGATTTGACTGACAGTACCTTGCCCTCCTCCCCCCACCTCAGAGCAGGGAAGGTGAGCGTTCACTGGGGAGCCACCGTGCCGTGCTGTGCGATTCACCATTGCGAGCGTGTGCGTTGGTCGTGTAGAAGCCATTTCGGATGGGCAGGCGGCCGGAGAGGAGTGAACTTCGCGCTGTGAGCCATAAACACCATCGGGTGGGGCGACGGCAAACGGCGTGTTAGCATTTGTGGCTCATTAGCCCGAGAAGAAAATGCCGAACAAGAAGGGTTAATAATGCCCATATCTGAAGTGAACCCAAAGTACTGAAACATGGGTTTTCAGCCGTCCATGATGGAACCAAGTTCTCAACGATTGTAAACTGTCTCAGCCTGGTCCCCAGTGACTGCGCACATTAAGTGAAGTTATAAAACTCTTCTATTCATTACCTCTGTGCCCTTTAATCTCAAACCGCCCTCCTCTCCGCTCCAATAATGTAAAAAAAACACACTTTTTCAGAAGTACTTTCAATGCACATCACCCTCGTCGCGTGTTACAATGCAGCAGCATTGTGCTGCTTTAGTAGCCTATTGTGCTGTGTTGCTGTGTACCCACGCCATTAATTAATGCCAATGTCTATAGTGCCGTGGCATTGCAAGCCATTACAAGGGCACTGAACAAGCAACATTGCCACTGCCTTGCTGCTGTCATCTCTCCCAATTCAGCGAAATTTACAGGAGAGTGGCAAGGATGTTTGATCGGCGCATATTGTATTTAGCAACGAAGTAGAATGCGCGACAGGGTGAGCGTGTACACGAAGGCTGCGTACAGGGCGAGCAGAGCGGGTTGGCAGTGTAGAAATCCGGCAGCAGCATCCCCTCGGCCGCCATGCGGTCGAGGTTTGGGGTCTCCATGGTTGGGTTCCCAAACACTCCCAGGTCTCCCCAGCCCATCTGCACAGAAGCAGCAGCAGCAAACCATAAAACAGACCGGCAGATGTGGCGAGCACAACCAACGTATCCCATGACACCCATCCGTCCGTAGTGCACTAAACTCGATCTTCATCAACAAACTCTTAACGGTTACAAAACCATCTTGCCTGCATCATCCTTGGCACCGGCCATCCTCGGCTTGAATCCCTCACCTCCTTCCACTCCCTCCACTGGCTTCTCTTTACCAGATGGGTAAGCTACGAGACCGCCCGCCTGTGCCACCATGCCTCTACTTTCAGTCGTCCACCTGCTGAGAAAGCATTTCGAGCTTTCAAGCTCACTGGAACCCTCCTGAAGTATTAAACTCAACTCAACTCCGGATCTCTCTTCGTCATCTCACCCTGCACTACAGCTCACGGTAGAACTTTGCAGTGCAACTCACAACCTCCTCCTCTCTACACCAAGGACTAGGGCCGTCACTGCCAGGAGTTGTTTCTCGATAGCAGGCAGCCCCCACCGTCTGGGATCACGTCCCGCTGCACATTCACAGCATTCAAACTACACCGACTTTTAAGAGACACTCAAAGGCCTTTCGAGCGAAACTGAGCTTGGCTCCGCACCTCTAGGGTCAAGGTTAATTATGTCTGTGAAATATTGTGCACGCTACAAACATACATGTTATTGTTATTAATGTTGTCCATTCAGGGATGCTCCTGTGGTGCATTGGTTAGTGCACTGGACAGTTCAATTCGATCCCCTGTGCAATGGCGGTCAAAACATTGGGGAAGTTTCCTCAATCGCCCCACCACTGTCTTACCCATCAGTAGTTGCTACACTATTGGCAGTCACATTTGGTGGGATAAAGTGTGGGTGCTCCCACCTCCTCCAAGACGTCTGGCCAGCTTTGCAGAGTAGGCCAGATACCATCTCGTGTCTCTCTAGAGCTCCCTCTTGTGGGGGCCAATCTGCCAGCAGGGGCGTATGAAAGTAATTTCAGGGCTGCACCTTTCCCCTTTCATCTTTGGCCCACATCCATTCTTAAACATTTGAATTCACGTCAAAACTCTAAAAAAATCACACGTAGTCCTCACCTCTGATGAAATCAGTGAAGAACATTTCTCATAAGAACACTGAACAACGCGGGTGGGAAAGAGGGGATATGGGCAGTGGGGCAAGGGAGGTGGGGTGAGATGAGGCTTCAGGAGCAGCCTCTGTCCAAGCTGTGTGTGAGCCTGTGTGTGAATGCATATGTCAGTACTATATGATATGGGAACGGTAGTCTTGCGGTGAGTGTGGTCTACTATGAACCCGTCGACCCGAGTTCGATTCCCGCTCATGGGCACTAGCAGTGACAGTAATCTGAATCGATCTGGGGCCTCCACTAGGTCGACTCAGCCTCAAATGAGTACCTGGTGCGATGTGTAAACATTGCCTCTAGGGAGACAAAGGTGGCCGGGCATGGTGCTGGCCACCCACCCCCTTGTGTGCCGTGCCGGCCTTCAGAGGTACTCGCTAACAGCACTTGCCCCAACAGTCCGTTAAGGCTACGGGGGGGATCTTTGCCTTTGTAAGTATGTATGCTTCTCTCGGAGTGATGGTGAGGAGGTTAGCGCACTGTGCTCCGAACCCAGCGACCTGAGTGTGTATTAATGCGTGTGTTTGAATGTGTCATAGTCTATTTAAGATCACTGGCTGTGCTTATTTAAATGTAGCATAACATATGTGTGTTTGACTTAAAGCTTTCGGGACTGCAGGAATTCATATTCTTGGGTCTTTCGGTAAAGTCACGTAGATAGGTTCAAAGAAAATAACAAAAATAACAAGGAAGACGACCGCTTGTGTCGTAGTTTTTTTTGTTATTTTCTTTGAGCCTATCTACGTGACTTTACCAAAAGACCCAATAATATGTGTTTGTTTAATGTACATGTATTATGTAAAAAAAATATTTTGATAAAAATAGGTTTTACCCTTTCTGGCAACAAAACAGGTGTTTAGATTTTGATTTAAAGCTTTCGTGACTGCAGGGATTCATATTCTTGGTTCTTTCTCTTCTACGTGACTTTACCGAGAGAACCAAGAATATAGGTGTTTAGATGTTAAAACACCAAACTGAAACCTTTTGCAAGGAAGCATGTCTGCCTTTTGGCGTCCTCTGGTCTAACAATGCTTGAGACGAGGCTCTAAAGAAAGCTATCTCTGGTGTGGACCAATCAGTTTCAAAGACAATGCATCATCAAATACTATCAGAGCATGTTTTTTATTTGCATGTTCACAAGTGTATGTGGTTAATGCAGACATGGATCCTTGCAAAAGGCTTCAGTTTGGTGTTTTAACATCTTAACACAACTGTTTTATTGCCAGAAAGGGTAAAACCTACTCTTATAGTTTGATACTTGCAAGGGAGGCCCCATGATGCATTTTTTTTCACGTAATTATGTTAGAGGCAAAATACATTGGGGGCGAAAAAGCAAACTTTTATGTTTCCTTTGTGTGCTTAAAATTTTATCAAAACAAAAATGGAAAGTTCAGTCAGTTGAGCAGCTTAATATTGATCAAATCCAGGAGAGTTATAATAGATGTCCCAATTTATGATTGCAACATTAATCGCCACGTCGACCGATACCTCAATATTCTCTGGATATGCATGTCAGTCTATTTCTACAGCGTCTTGAGGAGCAGTTGCACTTGGCTGCACTGATAATCCAAACCGAATTGCAAAAGCACACATTCTTTTACACATTTCTGTGCTTTTGCCTTCAAGCACCTCAAAAGCGCTCAACATAACTTATGCAATAATAGGAATAGGTTTTACCCTTTTAACTGGCACAAAAACTGATACCTTTATTCAAGGCATCATGTTTGCAATAACCACAACACAAGCAGTCAAAATGCAAACAAAAAAGACAACTCTGATAATAATATGCACTGTCCTTGAATTTGATTGATCCACACCAGAGACAGCTTTTCTTAGAGCCTAGTCTCCATTGGTGTTGGACCAGAAGACGCCAAAAGGCGTACAGTTTTTGTGCCAGTTAAAAGGGTAAAACCTATTCCTATATCTTGTTACTGGCAAAGGAGGTCTCATAATGTTATGCAATAATATTTGTGTCTTCCCAACCAGACACCCTTTAACTGAAAGCTTTGGTGGACGTAAATACCTTGCCTTGCTTTCTATAGCTCAGCAGAGTTGCAGCGAGACACATCTCAAACACAAAGGCGTTCCGGAATTTTGGTCCTTCCACTGAAAAAGTTTGATCTCTGGTTCTTTTGAGACAATGCATTGGAAAAGAAATAAGTGCCAATCCCCCTGGAACCGAATTATTTGAGCATGTAAATTAGAAAAGCCTAAACATGATTCAGTAAGCCACACATGATCCTTCCAAGGTCGGTAAGATAAGTATCACTCCGAGAGATGTCAACCGAGACCTTTAGAATGTCCACAAATGACTGATTGGCCATCAATGATACTGAGCACGGGCTCACAGACAGGTGGGCGGCTGACTTCCCCACCCATCCTTGCCCGTCATCTCCCCTGCCTCCGCTAAAGCCCACAGCTCAAGACCTTTATTTTTTTTCTTTATGACCGACTGCCTCTAGAAACACAATCACGCCGATTTTGTACGGCATCTCAAAATGCGGCCGCATTTACGCGCTACACGAATCCAAATTGTATCAGGCAGTTAACATCTCCCCACGCTGGCGAGATGTTAACTACCTCGCCGGATATGCAGGAGGTTTTAGGTTAGATCCCGACTGACACCTGGATATTTGGAGTTTGCATGTTTTCCCCGTGGTCGTGGTAGAGTATTTGGCTGCTATACATTTCCACACGATAAGCCACTTCATTGGGCTACCATTTGTGTCCAGGTCGCTTCTGAAAAATATCTATATAGCCCAGTGGGCCTTACCTGGTAAAATAAAAAATAGTTTAGTTTTTAGTTTAGATTAATTTTCATCTCAGCATGCGCGTGCCTGACCTGTGGTGTAATCGCTTGCCATAGGTACAGTACTCACGTCGTCCATCAGCATGATGATGATGTTGGGCTTGGAGCTGGATGCCAGACCCAAGCACAGCGAGCAAAGGAGCACAGCCACCACCCCACACATTGTGGCACGTCCCTGTGAATGGCAAGCACAGAAACAAACAGTTCAACTCTTGAGATGCGGAATCAGTATTGAGCCATAAATACTCTTATTCCACATTTATCTTCTCAGAGGGGGTCCCAGCATTGTGGAAATAACCTTGTCCTGTCAAGATACATATCCGTGGAATTTACTGAAAAATTTCGTGATGGAATTGCAACAACAAAAAAACATATTGGGAGCTCCTAGAAGAAAACTGGCTAGGAAGTAACAGAGGTTGTTACGGATGGTTCAATTGTGGAGGATGGCAAGGGGGCTTGGTTATGGATACCGGCACTCGAGTGGCACCCAGAGGTCAGAGATGAAGTGGAAGACCTAACGCCGTACAGAGGTTAAAGTTTATTTTGTTTTACCGGGTGAGAACTCAAGAGCTAAGTAGTTTAATTTGCAAGAATTAACCAGGGTCGCCAAAAATGTACAGAATCAAACAGTACAGCCACGAAAAAAATAGAAATCAGAGCATAAGCAGCTGTTACATGAGAAAACGTGGTGTGACTGTGATCCTTAAATCCCCCCCTCCCCCCCCCAAGGTCGGGTGTCCGTTATGCAAGAACTGCGGTGATGGCAGAAGGAAGGAAGCGAGAACCACCCCCAACATTGCGAAGCTACGTCAAAGTGCACATTTTCACACAAAATAGCAGACCGTTGGGGGGCAAGTGCTATTTGCGAGCACCTATGGAGGCCGGCATGGCACATGGGTGGTGAGAACCACGCCCGGCCGCCTTTGTCTCCCCAGTGTCGATGTTTATCACGCTACTCATTTAAGGCCGAGTCGACCTACACACCCACACAAGCGGACCACACTACACACACTACACACACACATTTCAGACGCCAGCGTGTCTCACAGCTATGGACCGTCCTCATCTGCACTGACAGATTCGAGCCAGTGGGTGGAAATTTCACATTCGTGTGGCGGCTGGGAAACCCAATTCTTCCACGGTCGATATACAATACGCATCTGCACAAGGCGACAACATACCCTACAAATGTAAGCAAAAAAGTGATTAACAACACACGGCGCCGTGTGTATAATAATAATTACATCTATATAGCAGCGCTGTTCATCAAGAATCTCAAAGCGCTGTACAGGACACAGCAGCACCAGCAAACACTCGATATATAAAAAAAATAATGAATACATTTTTTTTAAAACAACAATAAAATAAATACAATTTTAATAATGGGAAGCGTATAAATAGGTTTGAAGGCGCAATTTAAAATGTCCCCAGACTCAAGAGATCCCTCTGGTATTTCGTGGAAGAGTGTTCCATAGCCTGGGGGGCTACACGGGTAAAATCTCGAGTCACCCCATAGGGGGCCATCCAAAACGCACGCGGACTTTTTACCCCCCCCCCCCCCCACCTGCGTACGTACGCCTGACCCCCCCCCCCCCCCGAATCCTATAGAACGACCGATATTTAATCCACGCAGAAAGGATGAATAATATTAACGTGTTTAAGCAAACAGATAGTCCACCGCCGGCTGCATTAAACAATTAAGTTTCGTTCCTGCGGAGGGAGCTGGTAGGAACGTTGGGTTGCTCGGTCAATGGCCAGGGTCAACAATGGCGGCACCACCACGTGGTGTGTTCTGCACAATTTACCCGACTGTGAGGGCGGGCACAAGCCGGCGTGAGTAGGTTAAACGTTGAGTTTTATAAGGGGGGCACCACGGGGTGACCAGCCCCTCCCCACCCTCCCCTCTCCACCCAGCCCCACCCCTCCCACGACGGACGGACAGACACAATACTCCCCTGTGGGCTGGTGGTGTAACCAGGAGGTTCCTACACAGTAATAAAGTGTCTAGTGTCCGCTTGGTTCAAACGCCGACTGAACCCAGTCGAGCAGGTGACGTGTTATATAGATATAGGACTTCCGTCAACACGCGCAGTGTCAGGCTGAAGTGAGTGAATGAACAACAACCACAACAACCACAACAACAACCACAACAACAACCACGGAGTGAGTGAATGAACAACCACAACAACAACCACGGAGTGAATGAACAACAACCACAACAACAACCACGGAATGAGTGAATGAACAACAACAACCACAGAGTGAGTGAATGAACAACAACAACCACGGAATGAGTGAATGAACAACAACAATCACGGAGTTAGTGAATGAACAACAACCACAACAACCACGGAATGAGTGAATGAACAACAACCACAACAACAACCACGGAGTGAATGAATAAACAACAACCACAACAACAACCACGGAATGAGTGAATGAACAACCACAACAACCACGGAGTGAATGAACAACAACTACAGAGTGAGTGAATGAACAACAACCACAACAACAACTACAGAGTGAGTGAACGAACAACAACCACAACAACCACGGAGTGAATGAACAACAACAACTACAGAGTGAGTGAACGAACAACAACCACAACAAACTCGGAGCGAACCGAGACACGCACACTCAACTCGCGCCACCGCTCCTCCACGATTCACCACCCGTAGATCCGCCGTCGGATCGATTCCACTACTACAACACTCAACCCCAACCTCGCCCACACCGAATCGATTCCAAGTTACGATTCGATAACTTACCCGCGGCTATGCACCACAAGTAATAATCGATCAGTTCATCGCGTGACAGGCGGGAACGATGCCCGTCGATTCTTAGCGCGTGACAGATCACGTGACGGTCGAGGCCACGCCCTCCCCCGGGTGACGTCACCGCGCGAAGGCGGAAGTGGAGGGAGGGCCCTCCAGCATGGCGGTGTGCGTGGCTGTAGTGGCGAAGGAGGTGGGAATCTCTGTTCTGACTCTCCTCTTTGCCCTGGAAAGCCTCGATCACTCGCTTGACTCTGGTTGTTCTTTCAAGGGGGTTCTGGCTATGTTCCCCACACACACACCATCCCCCCCCCCCGCCGCTGCAGTTAGGGGAGATGTAATTGCTGTGCACTGTACCGTACGCGGTACCTTCTTTCCATCCATGAGAGGGGTTGTTTTGTTTGTACGGCTCAGATCGCGTAAGCGTAAATGTTGCGACGTTAAACCCGCCACGGCCCGACACAGACACTTGGTAAAGGTTTGTCACGTAAACAAAACGTGGCCAATTCGTTGCTAGTACGGCACACCGCTTGTGTGTTGGGAGAGTGAACCTACCGCAACATTTACGAGCTCTAACCCCCCCCCCCCAAAAAAAAAAACTCACACCTCTGTTACGGATAACATTGGTCGCGAAAGTCGAGGACGTGCTGTCACTACCTGCCTTTCTTTCCCGTTGACTAATCTTGTGGCCATTTCTTTTGGTTTCAATTTTTTTTTTGCAAATTTGTGATCGCGTGACGCTTGCCCCTGCCTTTGCGAATCACGTCGCCGGGAGCCCTTTGGTGCTTCCTCCGCGTGCGGACTTGCTCGCGTCGGCTTCGATTTCAATGCCACGCAGTGTTCATCGGTGGTGGGTTGTTGGGTGGGGGTTGGCGAGCCGCCGGGAAATCGAACCGTGAAACTCTGCAACGACACAAAGCGACGAACGCTGGGCCGATCGACTCGGACCATGCGACGTTTATATTTGAAAAGACAACGCGCAGCGCGTCGGTGTGCGTGTGTGCGTGCTGTGTGTTGCTCTTTTCGTTCTGCAGTGCCCCGTGGGTTTTTGGATGGAGCCGTTCTTGCCAGTAACCTCTCGTGAATCCCGCACGAGTTGTTTTAGCGAGCCCTGGCTCACGTTCAGAACCCCAAAAAGGTCGAAACGTGTCCAGAGGTCCCCCTCCCCCTTGTTTAAAAGTTAAGGCCGCTGCATTAATATTGGTCTCTCAAGCCAAAACATAGACTCGTGCAACAACACATCTTTATACGTGAAGGCAACGGAGGTACTGCTTGCCCGTGTTTGTTGAGGTAGTGGAAACCGTGGGCATACCTGTCAAACCCTTATCAGTGTCCTACCTTATTACAGATTCAGACCTTATTGGTCACCCCGTGCCCCTATACATCTCAACGTTCATCATACCAAGTCCCATTACAAGGGAGAAACACAAACAAATAGAACAATATTAAAATTTTGATTTAAAGCTTTCGTGACTGCAGTAATTCATATTCTTAGCTCTTTCGGTAAAGTCACGTTGAAGGGAAACAATAAAATAATAAAATATATATTTTATTATTTTAAAATATATATTGTATTGTTTCCCTTCAACGTGATTTTACCAAAAGACCTAAGAATAAGAACAATATTTGTTTTGCCCGTATTGAAACGGCTGTACGGCTGAGTTTTCAGGTCCAGAAATGGCTGGATCTGAAAACTCACTTCCCCTGTGTACAAGAATATGGTGTATGCGTGTGGGTTTTATTAAATATTGGTGCTCGTCACAAACCCCCAAAACAAATGGACTCATCGATAACCACCACCTGGGCTGCGTGTCCGACTTGGCTACATTCGAAACGAGTGTTGAAACTACGTTTAATACATAAAAGCATATAAATAACACTTTAAAGTTACGGTCTGGTGCATTCTATTTACAGAGCTCCGCTGTTGCTTCTGCCTCTGCACCTCTCGCGGGAGCGAAACCATAAATCTCTCTGGGCCTGACGTTGACGGCTTTGGCAGGTGTTCATCCAGCAGTGGATAGTTAATGGCTGCTCCTGATGATGATGAAACTCTATTCACCTCAGAGGGTTGATGACGGGTAGATAATATTGTTGTGGGAGGCAGTTAGCGTGAATGACGCTGTGTAAAAAGTTATTATTTGGGATGTGGTGGTTATAGGTTAGATGTTGTGATGTTATGGGTGAGGTTCGAAACCAGCGATGGTTTTGTTGCATAGATAAAGAAAATGTTTAGAAACCAGTGATGATGCTTTGTGGCATCGATGGCGGTGGCCACGTTGGCCTTTCGACCTTTCCGCCGAACATCCTTAATGCGACGCTTACCCGTAATGCGTTTTAACGCGTCCATCGCAGAACTACCCGCTGTACATCCGCAACGCGCCGCCCAGCAACGAGCTCAAGTTCCACTACACGGTGCACACGTCGCTCGACGTGGTCGAGGAAAAGATGGCGGCGGCCGGGAAGTCTGCCGGAGACCTGCGGGAGCTCTACCTGGGGCTGCTGTACCCCACCGAGGACTACAAAGTGTATCCTGTCCTCCCTGCCTGGCCGCTCGCAAGCCCAGAGGGGGAGGGGAGTCGGATCTGCAATATTGGCTTCCTGCTCATCGTCGACCTCCATGCGGGGAGGCAGATCTGCAAATTGGTTCCCTGCTCATTGACCCCCGAGGAGAAGTCGAATCTGCAAATTGGCTCTCTGCTCATCGACCCCCGAGGGGAGTCAGAGCTGCTCGTCACAATCTTTACGCTATCTTTATTCAGAATGTTTGTTTATGCTTGAGAAATCCGATGAGCTACAAAGCTCTTTTTCACACAGACGTCCAGTAGGGGCGCAGGGTTAGAGAGTTAGAGCAACAAACAATAAACGTATAGGTACGGTAATCAAATCAGGATAAATAAGTATACTAAAACGATTTTACTAGGTAAAGCACACTGAGCTGTTATTTTTCAGAAGCGACCTGGCTATCAGAAATGATTGGTCAACGAAGTGGCTTATCATGTGGAAATGTGGAGCAGTCAAATACTCTGAACGCATGTTTCTAAATGTGGAGGAAAAGACCGGAGGACCCGGAGAAAAATCTATGCGACCACAGGGAGAATATGCAAACTCCAAATATACAGGCGTCGGGATCGGAATCGAGCCCACGAACTCCTGTGTACCAGGAGAGGAAGATAACATCATACGAGAAATCCGGTGGACATTCAAGAATTCCACGATTCCACGATTGGTGTTAGGAATACTTTCTTAACCTTGATTTAACAAAACAAAATAGGACATTGTTTTGCCTGGTTGACAGTCACGTGTTGGTTACACGAGCCCCTACCGTTGGAATTTGACAATTTCACAGCTGACTCGGAAGGCCACCAAATGTGGTGAGTCCCGGCCCTGCAGTCGTTTGAATTGGGGGGAACGCTTTGACTTAGGGTTAAAGTTGGTGTTGGACGTAGTTCTGTGACGTGTGGGGCTGGGGTTGGAGCACCCTGTCAGAGCGTGACTGAGGACTTCCTCGGATATGCTCCGATGAGTAGCACTTTGTGGAAATTCAGCAGGAAATATCTATGAAGTGACATTTACTCTTTACCACGTGTCACCTTTCCTGTATAATTTGGAACTTATAATTTGGCCAAATTGTCTATATTTGGTAAACCTCAAGACCGTCGGCAGAAATAGTCATTGTCGCATTGCTCGTTCAAGCGAGGAACATATACACACTTTGTTTTGTATATATATTTGGATTGTTTATTGTTATACTTATTGTTTAAATCTTGGGTGTCTCCTGGCTTAAACTAAACATGCAGCATTGCTTACATCCGCACACAAATCTTGAGCCAGTGGTGGAAAATCAACATTCATTTGACTGGGGCCAGTCTCGTTTTGGTGGTTCCCGTTGACTTCACGAAGTGAAACTCATTTAGTTGACCACCAATTTTGATTTAAACTGAAGATCTTCCGAGTGCAAATTCAGTGCTCTAACTGCAGTTGCCACTGTGTTACATGTTGTTGTGCGTCGAGCGGCAGTGCACGTTTCTATATCAGCTCCAACAGCAGTGCCATTTCAGTGTCACCTTCACCAGTGGTCTCAGATATGGCTACGTGACGAACACCAAAGTCAAGTTCGTCATCGTGGTCGACTCGTCAAATACGTCGCTCAGAGACAATGAAATCCGAAGTGTGGGTATCGCACCTGTTTGCGCACAGCACTTACTTCTGCATTTTTCAAGGCAGACCAAAGTGACCCTATCTTAGGGCTCTTGTGTAGGGCAGGCTGGGTGGCTCTGAGGGGTGTAATAGTGTCGGTCCTGGGTGAGCACTGCCGAGATGATGGGTATCCTGAATTGAGTGCTTGGTTTTTAGTCACCCACGATTAAACCAAATTCTCAAGCGTAGCAAGTTGACGGCCTGATCATCAGTGACGACAAAACTACTAAACTTATTTATTTTACCAGGTAAGCCTACTGAGCTATGCATGTAATCCTCGGTTTACAAGTTTTTGTGGTACGCCATTTTGGAATAGCGCGCGCGCTTTGTATTTAGACGTTTTATTGACACTAGCGAGGCAATTTTCGGAATAACGTCATCCGCAAAGCGACGTACGCCACCATAGCCTGGCACCGTGACCCGCTGGCGTTGCCATCAGCCAGTGCGGCACGATAACTCGTGTGCGATACTGTACAGCATCTTGCCGCATGTACACCAGTGTTCTTCCCTTTGTCTTGTGTCTCTCGAGAGAGAATCTGAAACAAACATTATTTTATATGTATAAGTATTATATGGTGTGTACATGTATTTTATTGATATGGGCTAGGATAATATCGGCGATTATGTCTGCGAGTGAAATTCCCGAACCCCCTCCTTTGCCAATATTTATTATGGGAAAATTGCTTTGACATACAGTGAGGGAAAAAAGTATTTGATCCCCTGCTGATTTTGTACGTTTGCCCACTGACAAAGAAATGATCAGTCTTTAATTGTAATGGTAGGTTTATTTGAACAGTGAGAGACGGAATAACAACAACAAAATCCAGAAAAACGCATGTCAAAAATGTTATACATTTATTTGCATTTTAATGAGGGAAATAAGTATTTGACCCCTCTGCAAAACATGACTTAGTACTTGGTTGCAAAACCCTTGTTGGCAATCACAGAGGTCAGACGTTTCTTGTAGTTGGCCACCAGGTTTGCACACATCTCAGGAGGGATTTTGTCCCACTCCTCTTTGCAGATCTTCTCCAAGTCATTAAGGTTTCGAGGCTGACGTTTGGCAACTCGAACCTTCAGCTCCCTCCACAGATTTTCTATGAGATTAAGATCTGGAGACTGGCTAGGCCACTCCAGGACCTTAATGTGCTTCTTCTTGAGCTGCTCCTTTGTTGTCTTGGCCGTGTGTTTTGGGTCATTGTCATGCTGGAATACCCATCCACGACCCATTTTCAATGCCCTGGCTGAAGGAAGGAGGTTCTCACCCAAGATTTGACGGTACATGGCCCCGTCCATCGTCCCTTTGATGCGGTGAAGTTGTCCTGTCCCCTTAGCAGGAAAAACACCCTCATAGCATAATGTTTCCACCTCCATGTTTGACGGTGGGGATGGTGTTCTTGGGGTCATAGGCAGCATTCCTCCTCCTCCACTCACGGCGAGTTGAGTTGATGCCAAAGAGCTCCATTTTAGTCTCATCTGACCACAACACTTTCACCCAGTTGTCCTCTGAATCATTCAGATGTTCATTGGCAAACTTCAAATGGGCATGTATATGTGCTTTCTTGAGCAGGGAGACCTTGCGGGCGCTGCAGGATTTCAGTTCTTCACGGCGTAGTGTGTTACCAATTGTTTTCTTGGTGACTATGGTCCCAGCTGCCTTGAGATCATTGACAAGATCCTCCCGTGTAGTTCTGGGCTGATTCCTCACCGTTCTTATGATCATTGCAACTCCACGAGGTGAGATCTTGCATGGAGCCCCAGGCCGAGGGAGATTGACAGTTCTTTTGTGTTTCTTTCATTTGCGAATAATCGCACCAACTGTTGTCACCTTCTCACCAAGCTGCTTGGCAATGGTCTTGTAGCCCATTCCAGCCTTGTGTAGGTCTACAATCTTGTCCCTGACATCCTTGGAGAGCTCTTTGGTGGAGAGTTTGGAATCTGATTGATTGATTGCTTCTGTGGACAGGTGCCTTTTATACAGGTAACAAGCTGAGATTAGGAGCACTCCCTTTAAGAGTGTGCTCCTAATCTCAGCTCGTTACCTGTATTAAAGACACCTGGGAGCCAGAAATCTTTCTGATTGAGAGGGGGTCAAATACTTATTTCCCTCATTAAAATGCAAATCAATTTATAACATTTTTGACATGCGTTTTTCTGGATTTTTGTTGTTATTCTGTCTCTCACTCTCCAAATAAACCTACCATTAAAATTATAGACTGATCATTTCTTTGTCAGTGGGCAAACGTACAAAATCAGCAGGGGATCGAATACTTTTTTCCCTCGCTGTACGCGATTTTGAGATGCGCGCACTTTTCCAGGAAGGCATCTATCGCATATGTCAAGGAGAGCTTGTATAGCTCCTTTTCAGAAGCATCCTGGCCACAAATGATAAATAAATGAAGTGCCTTATGTGGAAATTTATAGCAACCAAATACTCTAAATGCATGTTTCTTAATGTGGAGGGAAAAACCAGAGGACCTATGTATAAAAATGCACGTGACCACGGGGAGAACATGCAAACTCCAAATATACAGGGGTCATGATTGTAATGGAACCCACAACCTGCATGCCAGGCGATGTAGTTACCATCTTGCCACCGCGGTACCCAAAAACATTTCTTAACAAATCTTGACTTAAAGCTTTCGTGACTGCAGGAATTCATACTCTTTGGGTCTTTCAGTAAAGTCACGTAGATAGAAAAATAATAAATAAATCACGATGTTTCGATCGCAACACAAGCAATATTTTTTCTCCTTCCTCGGCAGTTTGCCTGCTGTTATTTTTTCACCTGAAGACGATTGCTTGTGTTGCGATCGAAACGGCATTTTTTTTCTTCTATCTACGTGACTTTACCGAAAGACCCAAAGAGTATTTCTTCACAAGTTTGAAGTCATTGTGTGGACATGTTGACACATTCCAACTCGGGGGGAGGAATAAAATGTGTTCTTATTGGGATGCGGCAAACTCTGTGAGTGTACAAAAAAGATGCACCGCCGCTTGTGAGTGAATTGTTTTATTGAAGTCACTTCGTGTTAGTCCTTACAATTATTTGTGGCCAGTTTATGCATTCAACAACATCTCTTCCCACTAACCAATTATAATTGTATATGGTCCAGAGGTCTTATGGGCTGAGACCTCAACAAACCAGGAGAGGGCTGTGAGTAGCCATGTGGGGGGAGGATGGGGGTGATAATATCTTTTATTGCGGTATAGTAATTCCCGAAATTGTGAAGAGTTGTGAAAGGGTTCCAGAGGTTGGCATTGAACTGATCGTAAACATGTAATGATGCGTGCACAGTTCAATGCAAAACAAGTCCTGTGTTGGCCACACTTGAATAACGCTGGTGACCCTTCAACCTGTGCGCAAGCTTTGTGCTGGCCGCACGTTAACACTGCTGTGACCGCATTGTCCTGTGACGCGCAGATGTTTCGTAAGCTGCACACGGCCTTCACAGACGTCATGTGCAACCCTTTCTACAATCCCGGCGATCCCATCCAGTCCACGTGAGAACACCAACATTGCCACACCGCTTACATCTGCCGTTGCTACCAACGAACCGCCAACACCTCGCTGATCTCGTCAAGGAGCATCAACCATCACGCGAGCTCCGGTCTTCCTCGCAGCAGCGGCTCTTGGCAGCTGGCCAGCGAACAAAGACGGCGGGTCGCCGCATCGCGAGCTTTCAGACGCGCTTCTCTGGCCGTCTGGAACGCTCTTACGATAGTAGGAAGCCACTGGAGCTATGCACTTTTCAAGCAAGATTGAAAACTTAATTAAATTTAGAACTGCCTTTTGTGTTTCGTTGTCCTTCCCCATATTTTTTTGATATTAGCACAGTTGGCTACGTACGGTGCGAAAGAAGTTCAACATACATACAACCGGTGCGAGAATTAAACCCAAGACCAATTGGTGCCTTCTCACCATTTCAATGACTTACATTTACACATGCGTGTGTATGGCCCCTATGGTGCAATCAAGAATATATACCGCACTGAATGATAGAATCAGTCTTGACCACATTTTTGTCTAAACATACGGATCGAAAAAAAAAATTTGCACGCACAATTTTGATTCATGTGTTGTGAGTGTAATAATGTATGGTCTCTACCTTAATGAACCTGTATCTACAACGAATGTGACATGTCTGTTTAATCACAGCGCACACATCCGGTCACCAATCATTGCACAGGCAAACCAGCGCGCTCGCAAGAAAATGTTGCAAGCTTCTCAAAAGGGGGCAAAGTACCAGCTCCCAATGAGCATGAGGACTGTGCTCATCTCTGTTGCAACCACATTCTCATGAGTGGTCCGTTTGCAAACCACAGGATGACCATGGTTAATTTGAAACAAAGTGGCACTCATTTCATTGACCTTGCAGAGAGGATGATGATGAGCTTAGTTGACCCCTGATCTGGAATTGCTCCCCATCGCCTTCTGACTGGCGCCCTGACCAGTTTTACAAAGACAGTGAACGTGGTCCCTTGGAAACTGTAACGAAATGAGGACGGTTACTGTGGTTGGCTGATTTTAGATCTTGAAGGAGCTATTTTGTGTGTAATCGTTCATTCAGTTAACTAGGGGAATTTCAACAAAGCCCCTTGTGCCTCCAGGCATGGAAATTCTAAGTCGGTTATTGGAATGTCTTATCCACGTCCGATTAGCACGGTTGACGACGTACGGTGCGAAAGAAGTACAATGAACACGCCTGCATTTCAGTGTAGCCGACTTTTCTTGGTAAAATAAAAATCTTCATGAGTGAATAATTCCCACCATCAGCCTTGCGTGACATTGAAGGATTACCCTACGATGCTGTGCAACTTAAAGATCTTCAGTATTATTGACTAGTTCATAAAGCCTGTCTTTGCCAGGCAAAAGTTTTTAATAGATATAATCATTAACCTGATGTGATATTTTGACAGTTTTTATATATGAGCAGACATGAACAACTACTCCAAAAATGTGTATTTCTCCGCAAAAATAACACATTGTTGACGACTTGATTCAACTTTTTTTTATTTAAAGACGTACCCATTGGGAACGACTGAATTTAAAGATTGTTATTTTTTTATTAGAAAGAACAGAAATTAATTAACTTAATACTTTGAGGGGAAACTCCTATCTTTACTGTTTTCGAATTATTCAGATTTGAAGATAAAATGGTTTTTCTACAATTGAAAACCGCTTGAATCCGTAATATCTCAAAAACATAACATATAAAGCTCGCTTTAATTGTATTTGCTGTTTTACAGTTTATCAAACTAAAAAAAAACGCAATCTTATATTTTAAACGGTTTGTGAATGACACACACAAGCATGTTTATAGGGCACTTAAAATCGAGATTTTGGGGGCCTTAAAATGGAAAAACTCGGATTTTCAGAATTTTGCTGTTTGTGTCCTAAAAGCTACCAATTTACCAAATTTCAGCTTTCTGCCTTGTCGGGAAGTACCCTGGAGGTTTTTGAGACATCCAGGTTGAGGTATTTATTCATATGGAATATAGCGAAATTTTACAGGAATAATTTTCTGTGTTTTTCTTTCAGAGCCTTCAACAATGTGGTCACGTCAATGATGATGCAAGCCAGCTGAAGATGCTGCCAAGAAAAGCACAGTGTGGCTTTTGTGTGTGCGAGTTCCGTATACGTCTTTGTCGCAGTGCTTGAGTGCATTTGTGTCAATAAATGTGTGTGTTGGTGTATACATGCATTTGCTTGCTGTATAGGAATGTATAAATGAACGATTGTGCTTGCTGTATTCCTCGCCAGAGGTAATTGGTTGTCTGATTGGTGAGAAAGGCAACTGGGCATGCATAGCGCTGGCCCATCTACTTAATTTGTGCTATACTGATTTAGTAAGTGCTTCTCAACTGCACTTACTCTCGCATTTTCAGGCCAATTTGAAGATTATTTTATTATGCATGCATATGTGTACTGGTGTGTGCATTTACACACACGCCTCGTCTTTATAAATATTTGACCTTGAAACGCAAATTTGGTCATGTAAACATTTACACCACAAGATGTGCTTATTGGTTTTGAATGCTGTTCGTTGACGATTTCCTGTAAATAAATAAAAAAAATATCTTACGTGTTGAATCTCAAATTGTGTAATGTGTGCTTTTATTCGCACTGCATGTTTTGTATATGAGCCTTTTCAATCATTGATATTAACAATAATATCTGCCGATATATATTTTAATAATAAAGGAAATAATGCATAAAAACACAAACCCAAAAACACGCAAACAGATGGAGATCATAAACAGGCCATTAATGAATAAAGAAATAATAAAACTCGAGGCGAGGATGTTAGCAGCTATCTGCGAAGATCTCCAGATGAACAAGAGTTTGACGTGCCCTAAGGGAGGTCATGCAGAGGGACGCCCTCCGCAAGCCAGAAACGAGGACGCCCACGGGTTAAACCATATATTTTTTGCCATTAAAACAACGGTTAAAATTTAAAATGCAATAACAAGAATAAGCCAAAGTTAGCGGTCCTCATGCTCACTCCAATTAAGACCAGGCCACCAGATACATCAGTGAATTATTATCCAATAATTAATTCGCTATCAAATGATTTTCACCTTTAATACTTTTACTGTTAAAACAAAGCTTGGAGACAAAATACAGAGTCACATCAAAGGTTTTCGAGAAGGAATGAGACAACGGGCAAACTTGTGAAAGAGTTTAAACAATATCCCAAGCAACCCCGACCACCTTTGTCTCTCTCGCAGCGCGGAGAAGCAGGAATCACACCTTATCACAAGGGGCCATCTGGAGCTAGCCAGACGGATTAATGAGAAAACACAACAGCCAGCGAGTACGTTTTTAAGTTAAAGAAGTGGCTACACATCAGTCACACGTAAAATTAAGAATAACGTGTTCACCTTACACGACATTCCATTATAGAACCTTACAGAACCAAGGGATATGGATTCCAACAATCAAGAAACGGACCTCTTAAACTCAGGATGAAAATTATTTTTCTCTTTAATAATGCCATCATAACAATGCGAACCTCGGTAAACCGAGAGGGGTGCCGGGAGGACGTAGTTACAAACACGAGTCGTGGCGAACATGGGACCAAATGGTATTTGAGAAATATAAAGTCGAAAGTATAAAGAGATAGGTGCTCTCGACCACCTTTGTCTCTCCCGCAGAGCGCGAGAGAGGAATTTCACACCAGGGCAAACAGATCGTTATCGCAGGAGCCATCTGTACACACACACACGAACTCACACACACAGACCCCCCCCCCCTTTTCCACTGCGCGGAGAGAATTGTCCTTGAATATAACGGTCAGCCGCATTTTCAAAAAGTCAAGAGTTAAGTCAGTCAAGACAGATCAGCGAGTCAAGACGTCCACAGGACGAGCAGTCGCATGGAGCGGCTGGCTCCGAGCCTCGCTGAGTAGCGAGGATCGCCGAGTCGCGATGTATCAACAAAAGTGAGTCATACAGCAGTGGAGAGAAACTGCTGTCAGCGAACCAGCGCGGGCGCGTTCGCGCACTTCAACAGAGAGAGAGAGAGAGCACGTGCGACTCAACTCACTCAACAGAAGAAAAAGCTTGCCCAGCCGCCAACAAAGTACCAGCGAATCGGCGCTGAGAGCGCTCGAGCATCTCCACAAAGCAAGCACGTGCAACGTGGCTCAACCAGCAGCGGAAAAGCTTGGACAGCCGCCAACAACTTCAGCAAACCAGTGACCAAGCGCGTGCGACTTGAGCTCATACAGCAGTGGAGGAAACCTGCTGTCAGAGAGCCGCCAACAACCTCAACAAAGAGAGAGCGCGTGCGACTCGGCTCACTCAGCAGAAGAAAAACTTGACCTGTCGCCCGCGGGCGCAGCGTCAGATACTACAGAAGCGGAAAGGGCGCGGCCAGCAACGCCAAGCAAGAGCGTGCAGCAGCTCAGCCAGCAGTGGAGAGAAACTGATGTCAGCGAACCAGCACGGGCGCGTTCGCGCATCTTGAAGGAGAGGGAGCGCGCCACCAGCGTGCCATCAGCGCCAGCACCAGCGCGTGCCAACAGCGTGCCACCAGCGTGCTACAGCACGCAACTTCGCGTCACCAGGGCTGAGAGGGCAGCGGCCCTGCAACTCAACACCCATCGGCGCGACGACGGCGAGCGTCGTGCTGACTCATCCAGCCAGCGGTGGACAGAAACTGGCAGCCGTTCGTATGCCCCCCCCCACACCCTCCCCCCCCCCCTCCTCACTCCCCCACCGCTACATAACGAACAAACATTTTTTTTGACAAGGAAATCAACCTAGGCGTTTGCTCAACGCAAGAAATCAACAACGCTCCCATTAAACATACAAGACTCATGATAACTGCGTCAACTATTAGCTGATAACGAAAAACATCGCCACCCATTGAGTTATGTTGATGAGGCAATCAGAATTATTTCAGTCGAACGCTTTAATTGCATAATCGTTGATGAATCAATGAACGAACATCGCCGTGGTACTGTGCTGACGATTTCAAGCATAATCATTTGGCATATCAGAATGTTCTTAGTTTTTTCGGTAAAGTCACGTTGAAGAGAAACAACAAAATAATAAAATATATATAAACAATAAAAAATTATCACGACGTTTCGACCATAACTCAAACGGTCATCTTCAGGTGTGTTGGTTTGCATAAATTTATGATGACCGTTTGAGTTATGGTCGAAACGTCGTGAGATTTTTTTTTATTGTTTTATATATTTTATTATTTTGTTGTTTCTCTTCAACGTGACTTTACCGAAAAAACTAAGAATATGAATTACTGCAGTCACGAAAGCTTTAAATCAAAAATATCAGAATGTGTTAAGGATTGGATACGAATCAAAGACCGAGTGCCGTCTTGTGTAATAATTCAAGTATACGAATTTGCATATAATAGAGTTAAGGTTTGATAGAATAGTTATGCATGTTTAATCTCTCTCTCAACAACCGATTGATTGCGTTACGCGTCGGGAATTAACCACAGGTGCCGCTATCGAGGTGAAACAACGCAATCGTGATGGTATCATGTTAACGCTGTGTTGAAATTCCAAAATCCCGAGATTGAGTTTTCATATTATCCAAAAATTAAAGTTAGCTAGAAAATAAAATGTATTAAAGGAGAAGGTTTGTGTGTGATTCTTCCTGAAATTCTGCATAATATTGTTCTGCGTATGAGATCTGAATCCTGGGGACCTATCATAAGCACACTATCACCACACATAATCCATAACACACATAATTCATAATGTTCAATCGAGAGTAATCGTATCCTTATCGATAATACGGAATTAAAGAGCAGAGTCGAATCGACTCTCTCTCATTTATGCTCACAACGCCTACAGAACTGCATACAATCAATTGCGTTATTCCAATTCATAACACAATCCTCGTCACCGAGGCTCGACCTGATAATCCATAACGAACTGCATTATCATAACCACGCCCACTCGCATAAATTAATACGATTATCTCTCGAATCAGCATAATTTGTGCGCATAATTACACTAATTAACATAATTTCGGATAAATTGTTCAAATTTCATTTAATTTTCATTATTTTCATGAATTTTCATAACACCTATATATACAACACATGGTCACAATTTCCTCGCCGCACACTACGTCAGCCGATGGGATGACGAACGTGCGCTGTGAATTACGCTGATGTCTCGTTTCCCGAAGCTGCGAGACTCGAGGATCAACTTAATCTTTCCATCCTGGCCGTGCGTTTCCATTTAATTCGGTCAACTTGAAGTTGAACCAGTTTTGTTTTGCAAGCTGGCCTGAACTTGCTTTCCGTCAGAATTTGGGAGACAACGGTTTCAAAGCAAAACAAAATGTAGACAGTGGGGATTATTTAATTTTGACATCGAACGTTTCATGTTGTCACAGACGCTTGACCTTTTTAGTTTAACACGTAGCAGGCTTTCGCGACCAATATTAGTCATAATAAAGGTTGTTGGGTTAGATCGCGTTATTTATAAATGTGTTGTAACCCTCCACCACCCGACACGGCCAATCAGCAAAAAAAGTGTTACGTTGAAAAAAGACAAATAGTTCACTACTTTAGCCCACCGGTGTGCTGAAAAGTGAATCCACAACATTTACAGTTTCAGAGTACGACGTTTCGCGAGTAATTACATCCAGCATCATCGGGCAATTCGCCATTCTGGCGAAACGTCGTTCTCAAACTGTAAATGTTGTGGATTCACTCTTCAGCACACCGGTGGGCTAAAGTAGTGAACTATTTGTCTTTTGTCAACGTGACACTTTTTTGCTGATTGGCCGTGTCGGGTGGTGGAGGGTTACGACACATTTATAAATAACGCGATCTAACCCAAAAACCTTTATTACGAAGAAGCTTGACCGTTTCATTCTGTGAAATATTTGGGGGAGAAAGTGGTTTAGCAGACATTTTTCTGAAACCAAGACGTGTTCCACTCGTGTGAAAAGCACTTCCGGGAGAACTGAGGCCAACTTGAGTTCACTGTCCCATGGAAACATGGACCAAGGTTGCAATCTGTGATAATATAGCCGGGGCCATACCATTGATGAAATTCGCAGATGAGAGGAGTTTTCATCTTCAATGCACTGACTCGCATCTGCAGCATGGCGTTCTATAAATGATCGATTTTAATTGCACCAATCCTTATCCCTTAAATATATTGATAATGGGCAAGCATTTGCATTAACTCATTTTGTATCATGAATGTGAAAGTAAAGTCAATCAACCTCTGAACTCTCGTGTCAATTTTAAGTAAATTGTTGGATGAGTAATAAGTGCGTCGTGGGTATTCGGCCGACTCCGACACACCTGATGACGACCGTTTGTGTTATGGTCGAAACGTCGTGAGAAATTGTATTGTTTTATATGTATTTTATTGTTTCCCTTCAACGTGACTTTACCGAAAGAGCTAAGAATATGAACTACTCCGCATTGTTCATACATCTTAGGAGTGCCCACACTTTGCCTCGCCGCATGCGACGTGCTCATCGACTGGCGCATCTATTTGGGGCGCCGCAGTGGCGAGACGTCAACTACCTCGCCTGGTGGATGGGAGGTCGTGGGTTCGATCCTGCTGTGTATTTTGAGTTGCATTGCTCTCCCTGT